AGCAGCCTAGAAAGTTATTAGAACCGTTACAGTAACGTTACCGTAACGGTAGATAGGTACTTACCTGGTATGCCTTATATTCCTTGGATTCATACACAGTATCCATTTCTGCGTAGGAGGGTGGTGGGGTAGGAGGGTGGTGGTGGTGGTGGTGGTGGTGGTGGTGGTGGTGGTGGTGGTGGTGGTGGTAGTGGTGGTGGTGGTGGTGGTAGTGGTGGTGGTAGTAGTGGTAGTGGTAGTGGTAGTACTACTACCATGTCAGTGCTGAAATAGTATTGGAATGTTAGAAACTTACCTTTGTCGATATTTTACAGAACTTAGTGGATTTGAAAACGAGTGCAGTGTTTTATTTTCGAGTGCGTGCCAAGAACTGACGCGCGCGGGGTACCTCAGAACGAGTGCGCGTCAGGTGTACACGCACGGTACATGGGTACTTTAAGTCGCGTCTGCCTGGTAAAATGACAATACCTTATTTGTCTGCCTCCTGACATCCTCGGTACATTACATGTATTCTACACGTCAGCACACCAACCCATTCGGCACTTCCACAACCCACCTCACCACTACATGTATACAGCAGAAGACAAGAATAGGATGTAGTGTTCAGGGTCCACGAAAACGCGAAAGTCACACGCTCGCCACACTTCATGCAGCCTCGTTCGATCGTTCGGCTCCCCTGCAGGTACATCTACCACTTAGCGCGCGCGGAATTGTGGAACACGCGCTAGGTGAGTAGAGCCGCGACCGAGATCTGATTCTGAGGATGCCTGTAGCCTGTGAATGCGCCACTACTGGCTTCACTGGCACGGATCAGAGGCAGAAGCAGACAAGAACTCATACCACCCACCCACCTACCTACTTGTACCTTTTACCTCTGGAACAAACACCCACTCTCCATGCACTCAGTGTCGCTACCTTGATCAGTCTAGTCGGTGCCAGACAGACATCCAGAGACAGAAGCTACGAGAACGCCTGTGGCCCGCTATCACCATGGCAAGAACAACTCGACGTTCCGCCTCTGGGCGAAGCAGTATGTCCTACTTGCCCTCCAACTCGCCCTCGCCCTCGCCCTTCCCACTCCTCGAAGAGAGACATCTCTCTCCCACCACACTCGATTGGGGTCTGATGAGCTGACACGCAAATAGACGAAGCGGCTACATCCAGTCACTCGAACCCATCGATTCGCAACAATACAGTCGCCACTGGCCGCTCGAGGAGAAGTCTACCCGCCGCGCTACTCGACAGCGAGAATGACGAAGAGATCGCTGTACCATCAGGTAGATTAGTCAAGGGCGTCGCCATCCCAGCCGTGTCCGCCATTGATCGTTCAGCATACAAGAAGTCTGCTGCGAAGTCGAAGAGCCCGACCGATTCCTCCCTCTCCTCTCTCGATGGTCTCTCGCGCGATTCTTCTGCCGAGTTCGAGACACCGGAAACTACACCAGCAACTTCGATACGTGCTGGGCCATCGATGTCGAGCAAACGCAAGCGATCAGCGCTGGGCAACGTTACAATGATTGATGACTCGGAAGAGGGGGATGATTTGGCTTTGGCGATGCGTTTGCAAGAGGAGGAATACTCTCAGGCGGGTGCTCAGCAACCAACGAAGAAGAAGGTCAAGATGGGGAACAGCGATTCGGAGGAAGAGGAGGAAGAAGAGGAAGAAGAAGAGGATATCAGTATCCCGGACTCTGACGAGGATTTTGACGAACCGGTTGTGACATCGAAGTCAAACTCGAAGCGTTCTGCAACCAAGAAGCCAATATCTCGCTCAAATTTGCCACTTCAATCCCAGGCTCATTCGAGCAGCTCTACAAAACCAGTCAAGGCCGAAACTAGCTCCACTCGCAATAAGACAAGGACGTCGACACGCAAGGCTAGTTCGGCTGCAAAAAGCTCGATTAGCAAGAGCATCGAGAAACAAATCCCCGATAGCGACGAGTCTGATCTTGAGCTCAATGAGCTGGATAGCGAGGCTGACTTTGTTGGGACTGATTCAGGGGTGCCGGACTCTACCAATGTTAGTAACACTGAATCCGATGATCCGCTCGCTATGGTCCGCGCCCAAGCCGCTGTGCCAAATCGGAGAGACGCTATCATCATGCGTCGTCGAGCTCGCACTCGTGCTCGCCGACAAGGCCGAATCACAGGTAGGGATCCTGCACAAACTGCCGAGGAACTGGAGGATATGGTACCCCTAGGCCGAAAGGAGCGCGAGCGCAAGAAACTGGAGAAGTCGCATCCAGTCATCAAGACGATGTGGACTGATCTGGAGAAAGTTCCGGTCATTGCAGCAGAGGCTGCCGCGCAGCCAGACAGTGTCACACTGAAACTCAAGCCCTACCAACTGGAGGGATTGAATTGGATGATGAAGCAGGAAAAGACACACTACAAGGGGGGTCTCCTAGGTGACGAGATGGGTTTAGGGAAGACGATCCAGGCCGTATCGCTCATCATGTCGGACTATCCGCAAAAGCAGCCTACGCTTGTGCTCATGCCGCCGGTAGCTCTCATGCAGTGGAAGACGGAGATCGAGGTGTATACCGATGGCAAGCTCAAGGTGCTTGTCTATCATGGACAGAACACGAAGGTGAAGGGCATGTCGGTCAAGAAGCTCAAGGAGTTTGATGTCATCTTGATCTCCTACAACAGTCTCGAATCGTTGTATCGGAAAGAAGTCAAAGGCTGGTCTCGTGGTGAGGACATCGTCAAAGAGGATTCGCCCATTCACGCCATCCATTACCATCGACTCATCCTCGACGAGGCACACAGCATCAAGTCTCGTAATACAGGCGTTGCCAAGGCCTGCTTTGCTCTGCAAGGGACCTACAAGTGGTGCTTATCCGGTACTCCCGTGCAGAACCGTATCGGCGAGTTCTTTTCTCTGCTTCGCTTCCTGGAGGTACGACCTTTTGCCGATTATTTCTGCAAGAAGTGCCCATGTTCCATGCTGCATTGGCAGCTTGACGACGCTTACATGTGCGTAGAGTGCAAGCACGCTGGCATGGAACACGTGTCTGTCTTCAACCAGGAACTGCTGAATCCACTGACACAATCGGAAGAGCAAGAAGATCGTAACAAGGCCATGGCGAAACTGCATCTTATCACGGCACGCATCATGCTCCGGCGTATGAAGCGTGATTACACTCACTCCATGGAACTTCCGCCTAAGGAAGTGATTATCCACAACGAGTTTTTTGGACCGATTGAGCGCGATTTCTCATCCAGCATCATGAGCAACACGGCTCGCGAGTTTGATACGTACGTGGCTCGTGGCGTGATGCTCAACAATTATGCCAATATCTTTGGTCTCATCATGCAGATGAGGCAAGTCGCAAATCACCCTGATCTTCTGTTGAAGAAGAACGCCCACGAGGGACAGAATGTTCTTGTGTGCAACATCTGCGACGAGGTAGCTGAAGAAGCCATTCGTTCCAAGTGCAAGCACGACTTCTGTCGTTCTTGTGTGAAGTCGTATGTTTCGTCAATCGAGGAGACTGATGGCGAGGCCGATTGCCCCCGCTGCCATATACCGCTGTCGATTGACTTCGACCAGCCGGATATTGAGCAAGACGAAGAGGTCGTCAAGAAGTCTTCTATCATCAATCGCATCAAGATGGAGGATTGGACGTCGTCGACGAAGATCGAGATGCTGATTTACGACCTGTACAAGCTTCGCTCCAAGAAGCAGACGCTCAAATCGATCGTATTTTCGCAGTTTACATCGATGCTGCAACTCATCGAGTGGCGCCTCCGGCGTGCCGGCTTCAACACAGTCATGCTCGATGGATCCATGACTCCCATTCAGCGCCAACGGAGTATTGATCACTTCATGACCAACCCGGAGTGCGAGATCTTCCTCGTCTCCCTGAAGGCGGGAGGTGTTGCGCTCAACTTGGTGGAGGCGTCTAGAGTATTCATCGTCGATCCGTAAGTTTGTTGTGTCCGATGTTGAAGCTCATTGCTAACGCGTTGTTGCAGTTGGTGGAACCCAGCCGCAGAGTGGCAATCTGCTGATCGTTGCCACCGCATTGGTCAACGCCGTCCGTGTGTCATCACACGTCTATGCGTCGAAGACTCCGTCGAGTCTCGCATTGTCATGCTTCAGGAGAAGAAAGCCAACATGATTAATGGCACAATCAACAACGATAAGGTCGCTATGGAGAAGCTCACGCCAGAAGACATGCAGTTCCTGTTCCGTACGTTGCCTTCAGCTTGACCCCACTTTGAGTCGCACTGCTAATTCTTCACAACAGGTGGCACTTGAGACGCTTTACACATCGCACCATGCACTGGACTAGCCCTGTTCATTCGACTTGATTACACCGCCACACCGGAGGACATCCGGCGACGGACACTCGCCAGGGTCGTCACGTGGAATACGAGCCTACCTACTTACTGCACACAGCACACAGCACGCAGCGACACAGCTTTGCTTGGATATGATGATGATATTGCTGTTCAGAAGCTTCCTAGCGCGCACAGTAGCTACAGACCATGACGGATACGATACCATGATACTGCCTGTTTCGTCTTTTGTTTTCTCCGAGTACTTGACTGCCACAGTAGTTGCGGTCTTGGATATTGATGCCGGTAATATCGACAATCGCATCGTGCGGAAGCAGAGGTTCGGGTAAATTACAATCCTTGCTATCACGAATGTTCGAACATGTTCTGACTTTTTCCTCGACATGGCAGTGTTCTCGGCCTTTTCGCAAATAGACCCTCCCCCGGTTCATACGGAGTACACGCACCGTAGGAGGTAGTAGTGTATGACAACACACCGCCGTGCTGATGATACAGTACCTACAGTCTCGACTCTCAACGGCATACTATGTATGTATGTAACTCACTAGGGGGGGTAGTCAGAACTAGCCTCTAGGCCCAAGTCATCATCATTTTATCTGGCTTGGTTTTTTCTACGAGGGAATGAGTGAGTGAAGACTGTGAAGTGAATGACGATAAGGTCATGTCAGGCTAGGTCAGGCCCCAGTCAGTCCATATGTCAGACCATACTGATGATGATGATGACAGGCACAATAGACTATTGTCGTACATATAGCGAAAGTCGATCTCCTTCCCCAGGAGGGCAGGGGGCCGGGCAAAGCCCTGCCTAGAACCGAACAGAACAGATCACAGACAGACTCCCACGTTTCGTTCATTCGTACGTTTCAGGTTTCAGATTTTCTAGGTTTCGTCACCATCAATCAATCTAATCATTATCTCTCCATTCACACAACATCACCACATTCGTCAACCATTCGGAATTCTATCCTTTCTCTCCCTTTTTTTTCTCCTTTTCCGAGAGGCTGAATTTCGGCACATTCTAATCTATCTCATCACTGGCTAGAGAGACCAGGGCCCATGTCTTTTCTTGGCCCAGGGGGCAACGGGGGGCAACGGGGCGGCTAAAGGATCGCGGATCACGCTTCCCCTTGATGGTGGCAGGGCTGTACAAGACCTGGCGAACGAGACACGCGAGCATATATGTCTGTACCTGCCTGTCGCAGGGATAATCCTTTGGTTGTTGGCAACTTGGCACTTTTGGAGTGCTTTTTTTTCTCGCTTATCTGCGTTAGGGTCGGTCGGTCGGTCGGTCTGTCGGTCGGGTTGTTTAGCATCATCATCATCACCATTTAGCTTTCGATGGTCGAATGGAGAGAGAGATCCGAGAGAGAGAGAGACAGAGAAGGAAGTCCATCACAGAAGAAGAAATCACATTTCACTGCAGCGGCGGAGTTTAGCCGTGAAGCTGAGGAAGAGGGAGGTAGGGAGGGAGGAGGATCTAGCGTGGGTTGTTTATGCAAGGTCAGAGAAGAGGGAGAGAGAGAGAGAGAGGACCTGGTCAAAAAAAGAGGAAAAGATGGGAGCGCTCAGTGCTCTCAGTGCTCTCAGCTCTCTCATCAGTCCGTGTGAGAGGACTACTACCTTACTGTTGTTGGTATAGATCGGTTGTGTTTTTTTGGGGACCTCGTCGGTTCACCCCCACACTACTGTACCATCACCACCTCGCCTCTCCTCTCCTCTCTTCTCCACCCGGAGATCTCTTGTTACTTACTACTACTAACTACCGACTGCTACTGCTACTACTACGACAACAACGACGACGACGTCTGGGGGAGGAGGGTGTGCGTGCGCGTGTGGTCTTTTTTTTATTTTCTCCCGTTTCTTTTTCTTCTCGCATTGTACGGGTGTATGTATGTGTGTGGCGATACGTACGTTGACGTGACCAGATACGAGGAAGAAGGAAGGACATCAAAAGGGATAGAAGAGTCTCGGTAGAAGTCAAGAACGGACGAGAGAGAAGAAAGGGAGAGATCAAGAACAAGAACAAGAACAAGAAAGAGAAGAAAAAAGGAAGAAGGAAAAGAAGAAGAAATTCCACATGGACTATGAAATGCACGCCGACACCAAAGCCCTCACCACCACCACAACAACCTACTACCACCACCACCCTTCCACCTCCTCCACCACCTCCTCCCCAGCAGCAACCACGACAACGACCTCCCCCCTCAAAGAATCCGAAACCGACACCCTCCACCTCCGCCTCGACCTCCTCCTCAACCCCGACGATGAAGCCGCCAAGATCCTCATGGACTACACCGCCGCCAACCCGCATCTGACGCGTTGGACGGCCGCCGAAGAAGATGCTTTGGTGCGGCAAATCGATTGGAAAATTATGCCGGTCCTCTGTGTTACGTATGCGTTGCAGTGGTATGATAAGGCTATGTTGTCCCAGGCGGCGCTGTTTGGGTTGATTGAGGATTTGGGGTTGGGTGATGGTGGGAGGTATTCGCTTTCGGCGGCGATTTTTTATTTGGGGTTTATGGCTGGTGAGTTTTTTTCTTTCCTTTTGTTTTTGTTCTTGGGGGGATTTTTGGGAGGGCAGGGGTGGGGAGAATGGTTGGGTGGGTGGATGGGGGAGGGAGGACTGGATTTGATGACGACGATTGAAGATGAGGGAGGGGGGAGGAGGGAGGAGGGAGGAGGGGAGATGTTCTACGAAAAAGAAGAAGAAGAGGAAATGGAAAAAGACAAAGAAGCAAAACTGACTCCTTTCAACGACAACAATCGCTAACCTCCCCCCTTCATCCACAGGTGCCTATCCCTCCATGTTCCTCGCCCAACGCTACCCCGTCGAACGCGTGGCCGCCATCATCGTCCTCCTCTGGGGCATCTGCCTCATTCTCACGCCCACCTGCACCTCCTACCACGGCCTCTTTGTGCAACGATTTTTCCTCGGAGCCCTCGAAAGTGGAGTCTCACCCATGTTTATGATGATTATTGGGTCGTGGTATCGCAAAAATGAACAAGCGTTTCGCATTGGCATGTGGTATTCTTTGACGGGATATACGGCGACGTTTTCGCCGTTGATTAATTATGGATTGGGTCATATTGAGGGGAAATTGAATGCGTGGACTTATATGTATTTTTTTGCGGGGGGTGAGTTTTTTTCTTTTTTTTTTCTTTTGCTTTCTTTTTGTTTGGTTCTTTTCTGGTGACGAGATGAGATCAGAAGAGAAGAGAAGGAAGAAAAAAGACACTTTGACTAACCTATACTTACCATGATTCTTTCGCAGGCATCACGATATTATGGTCCATCGCCATTTACTTCTTCCTCGTTCCCGATCCCGTCCGGGTGAAATCCTTCTCCTATCGAGCCAAATACATTTTAGTCGCTCGACTACGAACCAACAACTCGGGCGTACGAAACACCAAATGGAAAAAAGACCAAGTCATGGAATTATTAACCGATCTGAAATTCTGGCTAGCTTTTTGGATGGGATGTCTTGCAATGGTAACGTGTTGCCCCTTGGAATTCCTCCTTTCCTCCCCCTTCTCCTTTTTTTCCTCCTTTTTATATATTTTCCAGTGATGACCTTTTTCTAATCCTTCTTCTTCAACAAAAAAGGTCTGCAACGGCGCCCTCTCCACCTTCATGCCCCTCGTCATCGCCGGATTCGGCTTCAGTTCCCTCAACGCGCTCCTCCTCACGATGCCCGCAGGAGCCTACTGCGGCACCGTCGTGCTCTTAGCGGCATATCTGGCGATGAAATTCGAACACATCCGCACCTGGATTATCGCACTCGCTCAAGCACTCTCGACGGGTGCGGCGGTGTTGTTGTGGCAACTTCCGACTTCGGAAAGGGGTTGGTTGTTGTTTGCCATGTATTTGTTGCCGAGTGCCGCGGCGGGTTATTGTGTGTTGATGGGTTTGCAAATTGCGAATACGGCGGGTTATACGAAACGTGCGTTGGCTTCTTCGGGGATTTTTGTGGGGTATTGTAAGTTGCTTTTTTTTCTTTTTTGCTTTCTTCTGTGTTTGTTTGTATATTGGACCAAAAAAAGGGGGGGATTTTCTGTTCACTCGACACATTTATTCTACACCAGACTTACACATCTTTTTTCTAACTCTTTCGTTCTTCTTCTTTTTCTTTCTAGGCATCGGAAATTTCGTCGGACCCTTCATCTTTCTCGAAAGAGAACATCCCAAATACGGCACCGGATTCGCCATTACCTGGATCACGGCGGCGATTTCAGGGCTCCTCGCTATTGCATATCGATACGAATGTATACGGGATAACCGAGCGAGGAATGCTTCGGGTTGCCGGGAGGCGTTTGATCATGCTTTTGAGGATCCGACTGATAAAGCGGTGAGTAGTAGTAATAATAGTGCACATTTTTTTGCGAGGGGATTGATTCGTATGCTGACTATCTACGTACTCTTTGGGGCGAGGAAATTACAGAATAAACAATTTCGATATATCATATAAAAAGGAAAATTCAATTCATGTTTTTTTTTTAACGAAAAAATGGGTTTTTATATATGGCGGGCGGTTTTTCTCTAAATGGCGGGCGCCTCGGTGCCAAGCCTGTGTAGCCAATTCCAGAGAAATCTTTCACTCTGAACATTCCTAACAAAATGCACTCTCTGCCTAGGTAAGGAGGAGGAGGAGGTAGTAGTGGTGGTGGTAGTAGTAGTAGTAGAGGTGGAGATAGAGATAGAGATAGAGATAGAGATAGAGATGGAGATGAAGATAGAGATGGAGATGCCTAGGGCAATGCCTAGGTAGGAAGAAGATGAAGATAGTAATAGAATACATATACATATATACTACATACACATACGCACGCCCGTACGCCCGTACGCCCACCCGCACGGCGCACGCACGCACGCGGGCGTACGAAATTGGCTGTCGTCCGTACTACTAGGTAGTAGGCAGGACAAATATCATTTGGGGCGCCCGCCATTTAGAGAAAAATCGCCCGCCATTTATAAAAACCCGAAAAAATTTGTAAAATGAAGAAAGGAAAAATAACAAGAAAAAACACACCCACGAATTTGCCAAAAAAAAAGAAAAATGCAGTGTTTTGTATCATTTGTTTTTCTTCTCTTTTCTTTCCCTTTTCCCTTTCTTTCTTCTTTCTAACCCAGTGTTGTTGGTCCTTCTCGTGTTGAACTTCGTATTCGCATCTACTCCATGTCCCAGGGGCCGGAAAGGGGAGGGGGGTCGTTTCGTGTGCAAAGTCTGATGATGACTCTGGATATATATATCGTCGTCCAGAGAGGTCCGGGAAACAGGCTCAACCGCTCCTTTCTACTTGTGATCGTTGAGATCATCACAGAGATTGTGGGCAAGCAGGAAAGGAGAAGTTGCTTTTTACTTTTTTGGATTGTGGCCTATTTTGAGTGAGGGGCCTCCAGGGGGGAGGGAGGGATGCTGACACGCATACACACACATACACATACACATACACATACGTCAGCCAGTCTCGTGTGAAGACTGATCTCTCACAGCGCCCTTGGGGGTGTGTATGTGTGTATGTATGTTTATGTGTATGTATGTGTGGAACAATGCAAAAATGATAAAGTGTAACAATGTTCTGTGTCCGGCGGTTTTTCTGTTTCGGCGGGAAGAGGGGTGAAACGAAGATGTTCTGAATAGCTCGCCCTTTATTTCCCCACAACGGGAATCTCTTGCGAGGCGAGCGTGCTTTCTCTCTCTCTCCCTCTCTCCCCCTCTCTCTCTCTGTCTGCAAACCCATGCTATCTTTCTTGTTTTCTGATACATAACCATCCCCCTAACCCCTGGGGGAAAAGGGGAAAGAAAGTATGTATGTAGGCCCTGGTAAGTGCATACTGCATATAGCAGTGCTTATCAGTATCTTTCATGTGAAAGCACAAGAGAGAGAGAGAGAGAGAGAGAGAACAAAATCTGGGGGCTGCGATTCGTGCGCTCTGTCGTTGGCGCTAGTTCTTGTCCCTGTGATCGAGTCTGTTTCTCCGATCGGGTCGTCTCTGTCTCTGTCTGTCGTTCGTATTCGTGTCTCTCTCTCTCTCTCTTCCAGTCTCTCTCTCTCTCTCTCTCAGTCTCTCTTCCAGTCTGTCTCAAGTATCTTCATGGTTATTGCCATCCTGCGTAATCGGAGTAATGGGAGAGCCGGCACTCATTGGTGAAATGGGGTGGTCTACGCGGCCGGAGACTTCAACGTGGTCTCCCACTCGCAAGACTGCTCCGCTGGGGCCTGCACATGCATATTGGCCAAATACGGGCTTGTCTGCATGAATGAATGAATGAACATTTGTCAGCTTTGCTCGCTCGCTCGTTTGCTCTTGGGAGTGCGAAAAGTAGAAAAATAGAAATCAAAATAAAAATAATCTCACGTGGAAATAACTCATTCACTCTCCGATCCTTGGCAAGTAAACCGTAAAGTTGACGATTCGTGGTAATCATGCTTCCCTTGGCCAAGTCTGCATTGAGACTCAAACATCTCACTGTTCGGAACAAACACCGCACCGAGACCTCTTGTGCAGAGTCCATTTTAGATCGTATCGTCAACAAATCCCATCTATCCTCGTCATAGGGCTCGACTTCGCCACCCACATCAACGTGTATATTGGGTCGAAATCGCACAATCAAATCTTCCCCTCGCGCAGAAGGAGGTAGTCGCTGACGTGCATCCTCTTCAGAGGCACTCGATGTAATCAACAGAGGCGCGGCATCTGCAAAACGGACTCGTTGGGGCTGTAATTTGTCGTTGACGGCAATCGACAACGCGCGATATTTGTGCTTGGGCATAAACACTGCGCCGGGAATTTCTCGTTGACCGTTGCCGCCAATATAGAGGAGTCGAACGGGTTTGCCCAGATGATGCGAGAAGTACTCGGATGCTTCGGTGCCCATGTCGATGCCTTGGGCTTTGGTGCCGAAGATACTGACGTGGAAAACGTCGGCGTTGAATAAACTCACGGGAGAAGGGGTTAGGGGAACCGTCACGGCGGCTCTCTCTTCTGCGTGGACATGTGTAATGGTCAATTTGGCCCAGGATTGATCGATCATGGTATGGAAGAGTCCGAGTTCGAAATGATTCTTGATGGTAATGTGTTCGGCGAGGCCGTTGGTTTCCTCGGTGGGAGGCTTGGCCAAGACATATTGTCGATCGAAGCGTAGACCCTCGTTTGTGATTTCTGCGGCGTTGACCTCGACGGGTCGTAGTGATTTGACGGGATAGATGAAAATCTACGAGTGACGGGGGGGTGTTAGTCGGTCTGTCTGTCTGGATTGCTTGCTTGCTTGCTTTTTCCACGGGAGGTTTGTTCAAGAAATCAAATATCGTACGCGCTTGATCTTCATGATGGTGACAAGGGCATGTATAAACAAATAAATAAATATTTAAAAAAATGTCCTTTTATGGTCGATGAGAGAGTTGGACTGTGCGGGGCATGTGAAAGTGCGTGCGAGAGTGAACCCTCCAAACGCTTTCGTGTCCTCAGGCACCATCCGGCCCGAATGTCTTGGCATTGGCCCCTTTGTAAACTACTACTAGCTACTTCACTTGCCTTTGCTCAAACAATCCGAACTACACCGCACCACCTCGCTCTGCCACTGCTATTGAGCATCACTACTGGCCAGTTTTCGAATCGATCGAAATACGCATACTCATCCGTCTCTCCTACACCGTCTCGCGATGCGCAACGTCCGCACAGCTCCAACAGGAATCGAGCAGCGGGACATCGATCACTAGAGAATCACTGCCATTCTAGGCCGGACTGAGGAGATATATGCATGCAAAAGCAGAGAACCGCAATCGTTCCTCAAGAAGATCTGGGATAGGGAAGACGCAGATATAATCTGATGGCCCAGGCTGCTGGTATAGGTTGAGGCAGATGAGAAAAAGCTATTGTAATACACACGGTAGGGAGCCTGTTGATACACTGCGCACTTTCTATATCAAGCATTTGTACAGTTTCTCTTACGGGATGTTGTGCATAATTTTGCTCGCATAAGAAGCGTAGGTAGCATGCAGACGCTATAAAGGCTTACAGAGGACAGAGTTCGAGCTGCTCAAAATGCTGCTCTAGGAGTCTCTAGAGGTAGAGTTGCAGTGCAAATATATCTATAGTCGTTACAGCTTGCGCTAAGAATCCAGCTTTGCTAGTTTCATGTATAATCTTCCTAGTACACTCTACTGACTGCAAGATAGGGACTTGAAAGTCGTATTACTACTCGTTCAGGCGATCAGCCCCCCCTTAGTAGTAGACGTCCATCTGTTGAGCGTAGATGCAGCAGACAGCCAGTAGTTAGCCGCCATGGACGACCAGCTAGCAGTGGCATTACTATCATATTGCGCAATACTGACTTCCTAGAGTATGAAGCTGGTCGATGTTTGGCGCGAGATATGCTAAGTAGGAATGGAGGCTAAACACGATCAGCTGGGCGTTCAGTCCGGTCTTTGTATCCTGGCCCTAACGCGGACATTGCTGCTTCGTTGAGTTTTGATGTTTCATGCTGTCCATGTACGTTTAAATCCATTTATTATGCTTTCAAGTGACCACATGCGTTCCGGTTTGCCCATCGAGCATTGCTGCTCCGGTGCTGTTGCATGCCTCGCATTACTCTGCTGCCAAAGGTCCGAACATCAAGTGTGCCGCCATGATTCCATTCGCTCCATCTCTATATCACCTCCTTCACGAATGTGCTCTCTTGGTATTCTGTGACCATGGGCTCTGTTCCCTCGTCAAGACATCCATGTTGTTTCATTTCGACATCAGTTTCCCGGTGTAGAAACAGTTCCCACCTGACAATGCTCGTGGGAAATGGTGGTCCTTCTCGGGAATTATTGTCCCTTCAGAAGTCGATCTGCTCCCTCCTTGCCTTCTTCGCCTTGGTGATGGAGAAGCAGAATTGGCGACAGTCGACGAGGAGGTGCTGGAGGATCCGAGGACAGGCGCGAGGACGGGTGTAGGGTGTGTGTGGAAGAAGATTGCGAGCGAAACGGACGCCCAGAGAGACACGGGAGGGAGTGGGGGATGACGGTACTTCTCGGCGCCTCAGGCTTCCATTCTCTTTCTACTGCATACGATATCGAATCCGTGGACATGACCATCCATCCGACCACTCATCATGAACTGGTATGACATGACATGCATCATGACATGGAGTTGATATTGTCGTCCGGCTCGCAGAATTGCATTTTTTGATATTTCCCATACATCTCGGAAGGTCAGGAGGTTTGAAGTCATATTATCGATTCCGCCCGACTCACTCGCGAGTTTCCTGGTCGACAGCCACATGGCCCAGGAGCCATCCGAGAGAGCCTGCGATAGATGCAGAGAGCGTCGTGTGAAGGTGAGAGAGAGAGAGAGAGGGAGATATGGCCGTTCGAGAATATGAGTGCCTTGTTCACTGACACCTTCTTCTTCTTCTACAATGCTGATATAGTGTGACAAAACGCAACCAACATGTCTCCGTTGCGAGAAGCTAGGCAAGCCATGTCCCGGATACGACAAGAAGCGGAAGTTCGTCGATGAGGGTGCCTCGTTGAGGAAGAAGTATCAAAGTTCGGCGGCTGACGACAGTGTTGTCGCTGCTTCTCCTGTATGAAATTCACCAATGTTGCGTCAGGCACGGAATACTGCTTTCATGCTGACTGCGTTTCAGCGACCACTCCAGACGACTGTTCGGGCGAGCAGCAGTGCTGCAGTCCAGCCTCAACCTAGTATCACTTCTCCCGCGGTAGGACTCGCTGTTCCAGTGGCTGTGCCAGCATTCACTTCACCCGCTCTGCCTCTGCCTCCGCCTTCTTCTTCTCCTTCTTCTACACTGCTCCCTAGCTTTGAAGCCTTGAACAACTCCTTGGCGGTGCCACGGACTGAAATCGGCAATATTTCCCCTTCTCTTGTTTGGCCGGGCTCGGCTTTGGATCCGCCTGTACAAATACCGCTCACGAATGATGATTTGATGCTGGATGAAGTATGGAAGAATGAAAACTTCGATCCCGAATACTTCGACTTACAACCTGACGCCTACTATTCCGCCGCGGGAAACACGTGTGGCTTTCTGCCGAATATTCCTGAAATTGTCGACGAAGTAGATCAGAGTGATATTCTGTTGGCCAGCAACTCCGCTTCTGCTACCCCTCTTTCCACTGCCATCTTCTCGGGATCCTTTTCAGACAGCAACCTGGGCGCGCCAGAATCACAATTGAACACGAGTGCGCTCATCACCAGTGAACGCGATCATGAGATGGCTTATCTGATTCGACACTTTACCGAATCATTAGGTCCTTGGTGAGTGCGGGCGCTACTGCATGAGAGAGAGACATGTAACTGATGTGCTACAGGATGGATTTGTTCGATCGGGACAAGCACTTTACACATCTGGTCCCCTTGAAAGCTCTCCGTGATGCACTATTACGAAATGCCATTGCCGCCGTAGCAGCCAAACAGCTCGGACGAGTCAAAGGCAGGAAGCCCTTTACAGGCCGACAATACCAGAAACCTTCAGCCATGGAAGTCCTCGATGACACTCCCGCCCAAGTGGACTGGTTCTACAAAGCCGCCAACTACTACGACAAAGCCATAGCCTTCTCGCGACAATACCTTCAAGCTGTCTCGGGAGAATTAAGTGATGTTCACAGCCCCAACACGCAGCACGCAGCAGCAGCAGTATCCTTGGCCAATTCGGATGATCTTGTAGTCGCGGTGTCGATTTTCTCGTTGTATGAATCTCTGGACAACCTCGAAACCGGCGGCTGGCTCCAACATCTGGCGGGCCTCAAATCCCTTTTGGGCGCCGTCAGTCCCTCCCAACAGGTGCAGAATCAAGTCTCGCCCTCGCTCACCGTGGGACGGTTAGCCTCATTCTGGAATTTTGCTCGAGCAGACTATCAGGCTGCATATACCAACAAACAACGGACTCTGCTCGATACCGAGGACGTGGCACTTTGGAATAGTTGCGGACTGGAAATACAAGAAGACGGAAGCATTTACAAATCTTCCGAAGTCGTCAAAAATGAATCTCCTCATCATTCCCGCGTTCTCGCCGACGAATTAGTCGCCCATACCCTCCTCTGGCTAGTCCTACGCGTAATGAACTACCTCGCCAGCGACGAAACCAACTCGACCGCTCGTCAATCGCAGTGGGATCTCCTAGTGCGACAGCTCGATCACTGGTATGGCAACCTTCCAGATACCTTCCAACCCTGCGCTCAAATCCGACATCCTACCGCATCGGGCCGAACACATCATCAACAACAACGCTCACAGCTATTCGAAGTCTTCTTCAGCATCGACATCTGCGCCGCAGCGATCCAATTATATCATTTTGCACGAATCCTTCTCCTACTCCATCGCCCCCTAACGGCATCCACTACCACCACCACCGCCACCAGCGACAACAACAACAACAACATCACAATCCCCCGCAACCGCCTGCAAGCCTACCGACAAGTCTCCACAGAATCGATCCGCCACGCCCACGAAATCATCGGAATCGCCCTGGGAAGACCTCAGCCCGCGATTCGCGTGGAAATGTTACTTCCGCTGTCGATTGCGGGGGCTTGTTTGGAAGAGCACGATGAACGCGAGGTGGTTTTGGATTTGTTGCACGCTATTGAGCTGGATACGGGGTGTGCGACGGCGGCGAGATGTGAGGAGTTGAGGAGGGAATGGGGGTGGGGGGATGAACCGTTGGGGATTGCGTGATTGTGATTCTGAGGAGGGAGGGGGGAGGATGCGATGGGACGTTCACGATCATCCAGCGACTTGTCCCATCTGAATGGAAGCATTATTGGCTGCAGCGTATTTATACCTAAAGTACGTAAGGTACCTGTAGCCACTATCTCTTGCTCCTGATTCTCTCCTCGTCTGCCAATTGCCTCTCACTCTTGCCTTTTCTTCTCTCCATCCTGAGCTCCTGTGCTTTCGCTCGAGGATCAATGACTTCAATCTCTTCCATTTTCCGTTTCCACTCGAGGTCCTTACCCTTGGTGTCTTTGGCAAATGTGAGCTTCTTGGCCATCCAACTGACATCATCGTCACCGTCGTCCTCTGCGTCGCCCTCGGGCTGCTCGTCATCCCACGCTTTACACGATTGGCAGTTGGCGATGAAGTGAAGGTCGCAAAGAGCTGCTTCATCATCCTCCGCGTCTCCTGTCGTCGGCACCGTAGAGTGGCCGTTGGTCTGAGCACCGGGTTCTGTACTACTCCCATTATGAGCGGCTTCGGGCGTGTCATCGACCGGCAGCTCTTCAAGACGGGACTTGAACTGCTTGAAAAGGTCTAATGCGCCTCGCTCGTCCGACGCTTTGCCGCGTTTCCTGCCTCGTGTGGAAGTGGATGGGATCATGGATTCTAGGGTACTCTTTGGTCTCTCCTTGTGTTTGGGTCCTGTATCAACTGTACGCTTCATGCTTGCCTTCAAAGCTGCTATCTGAGCATTCGTCGAATCCAGCTGCTTCTGTCTCCTAGCTTCCGAATCGTCTTCAGACTGCTCCTCTTCTTCTTCCTCGTCTTCCTGCTCCTGAGCTTGTTTCGGCTTCCTCGTTGGCTCCATTGTGCCTCTCTTTACCACATCCCCGGATTGCGCATCTGGAGATGACATTTTCTCCTTCTTCTGCTTCGGGGCCTTCGCCGTTGGCTTCTCTTGCGCCTCTTCCTCCACAACTACTAGCTTCGGATTCGCCTTGACCTTCTTCACAACTGGGGCAGCATCGTCCTCATCATCTCCAAAGCTCAAGACCTGTTTTCCAAGCGGCTTCTTCCTCTTCTTCACTTCCTTCTTGCCTTCATCTTTACTTCTAGGCGCTTCCTGGACGCGAGCGACCATGTCCTCAAAGGGATTGACTAGTATCTCCGCTCCAGTGATTCTCGCCGGGTATAGTGGCCTCTCACTCCCTTCTTCCAGACCCACCAGCTCTGGATCTGCCATCCTATTGAGGTTGTAGATCGTGTCCCCCTCGACCCTCCCAAACATGGTATTCTTGCCCTGCAGCTCAGGTGTCGCACCCAATGTTAAGAAAAACTGACTCCCGCACGTATTCGGTCCTTCATTTGCCATTCCCAGCAGACCACGCCTGTTGAATTTGAGGCGCGAATGCACCTCATCCTCAAAGGCATCGCCATTATTGATTGCGCTGATTCCACCAGAGCCCGTGCCTGTGGGATCACCACCTTGAATTATGAATCCCGGAACGAGGCGGTGGAAGATGGTGTTGGTATAATAGCCGTCCAGACAGTGCTGCAGGAAGTTTCGAGCGGCCAGTGGACATTGTTTGGCGAAGATTTCGAGCTGGAGATCGCCTGATGTCGTATTCAGGATCACCTTGGCTGTCGGCTGCGGTTCGAGATTGTACAGGGCGGCCATGAGGGATGTGAAGGTTGCTGAGTCGTAGGAGGTAGAATGTGTTTGGTTTGCATGTGACAAGTCTCGTTAGCGCGCTTGGGATGTGTGAGCTGTCGTCACTTTAGCTTCCTCTTTTCTCCAAATCCGATCCTGGTCGTGCATACCACCACCACGAGAACAGGACAATGGCCACAATTACCATGACAGAGACGCAGACGCGCCACAAACGTCTACCGAAAGCAGTCCGAGAGAAGCTGCCGCCAGAGAATGAGCGTTACGTGCGATGCTGCGCGGATATTGCCAATTATCTGGTCGAGGACTTTGAGGCCTCTCAGCAGCCCGATGCGAAGAAGAAGGACTTGAATCTGAATTCACTTCGTGGCTCCTTCTCCAAGAAGCACTACCTGTCCCGCCAGCCGCCTCTCACAGACATCATCGCCGCCGTGCCCGAGCAGTACAAAAAATACATTCTGCCGAAGCTCATCGCGAAGCCCATTCGCAGTGCCAGTGGGATTGCCGTGGTGGCTGTCATGTGTAAACCGCACCGATGCCCTCATATCGCGTACACGGGCAACATCTGCGTCTACTGCCCGGGAGGCCCAGACTCCGACTTCGAGTACAGTACACAATCCTATACGGGCTACGAACCGACCAGTATGCGAGCTATACGGGCACGATACGATCCGTTCGAACAGGCGAGGGGCAGAGTGGATCAGATTCGGAACCTGGGACACAGCGTGGACAAGGTCGAGTACATCATCATGGGTGGCACATTCATGTCGCTCTCACCCAAGTACCGCGAGACCTTCATCTCGCAATTGCACAACGCCTTGTCGGGCTACTCCACATCGCAGGTCGATGAGGCAGTTCTAGCAGGTGAGCAGAGCACAACCAAATGCGTAGGCATCACGATCGAGACGAGACCGGATTACTGTCTGCCGCCTCATCTCTCCGACATGCTCCGTTATGGCTGCACCAGACTCGAAGTGGGTGTGCAGAGCTTGTATGAAGACGTCGCAAGGGATACCAACCGCGGTCATACTGTCAAAGCTGTCTGCGAAACCTTCTGCCAATCCAAGGATGCAGGCTTCAAGGTCGTTTCGCACATGATGCCCGATTTGCCGAATGTAGGTCTCGAGCGCGATCTCTTCCAATTTCAAGAATACTTTTCCAATCCCGCATTTCGCACAGACGGTCTGAAGATTTACCCTACGCTTGTGATTCGTGGAACAGGACTGTATGAACTCTGGCGAACAGGACGATACAAGAATTATACGCCCAACGTCCTCATCGATATCGTCGCGCGGATATTAGCACTCATTCCGCCGTGGACGAGAATCTATCGTGTGCAACGAGATATTCCCATGCCACTCGTCACGTCTGGCGTCGAGAACGGCAATCTACGTGAATTGGCCTTGGCGCGAATGAAGGACTTTGGCACGACGTGTCGAGATGTGAGAACGCGAGAAGTCGGCATCAACGAAGTCAAACACAAGATCCGTCCGAACCAAGTCGAGCTCGTGCGGCGAGATTATGTCGCCAACGGAGGCTGGGAGACCTTCCTCGCGTACGAAGACCCGAAACAGGACATTCTCATTGCCCTACTACGCCTGCGAAAGTGCTCGGAGAAGTACACGTACCGGGAAGAGTTGACAGGGCAGCAATCGAGCTTGGTCCGAGAACTTCATGTGTATGGAAGTGCGGTGCCGATCCACGAGAGGGTGAAGGGGAAATCGCAGCATCAGGGTTACGGGACTCTGCTAATGCAGGAGGCTGAGAGGATCGCACGAGACGAGCATGGCAGCAAGAAAATTGCCATCATCTCTGGTGTTGGCGTCCGAGGATATTACAGGAGACTAGGGTACTGGCTCGATGGTCCATATATGAGTAAATGGTTGGAGCCAGAGGATGAAAGTGATGAAAGTGATGATTGAGAGATTGCGGAATGGAGCGAGCTCGAGCAGGAGACAATGATACCCACTGTACGAGTGATGCATGGAATACACGTTGATCACAATAACATTCCCTACACTGCTATCCGCTTGTCATCGTGAATGATCTGCAACAGGCATCAAACATGAAACCGCTACGGTACCTTGTTACTTGGTTTGTTTTTCCCCTCTGCCTCTCTGCCCCATCGCCCACGACATGTCGATGCATACCATAGGAGGTACCTTATATGTACTGTACTGTACACGCCGTGGCCAGCAGACATGATGAGAAAGCAGTGCCAAGCCGACCCATTCGACGTCAGCAAACGGCTTTCGCCGGGTACACAAAACTTGGGTGGGATGAACTGATCGTCACGTCTCGGCCGACCCGATCTTTTGCTGCATCTTCACGCCGCCGACTTTCTTTCTTTTTTCTTTTTCCTTTTTCCTTCTTCTTCTTCCTCTTCTCTCTCCCTCTCTCCTCATATCCCGTCATGAAGAAGTGGAGGGCGACGGCATGCCGCTGAGGAGTACAGGCTGCCTAAAGTGTCGCCAGCGGAAAATCCGATGTGACGAGGAACGGCCAGGTTGCAAAAGGTGCAGAATCCATGGCGTGGTGTGTCCCGGATTCAAGACCGCCCGAAAAGGCGATATCGAATTCGAGGATCAGACAGACCAAACGGTTCAACGACTGCAGATTGACGCCCATGCTGCGCTGAAGGGACGGCGGAAGCCCGTTCGGTGGACGAGTTCAGAAGCGTCCACTCCAGAGGAGAAGCTGACGACGACATTCACCTGGGCTGGCTTCGATCTAGGCGCACAACAGCCATTGCATCGAACGGGCACGCCACCTGTCGCGCCTGTGAATGTGGCACCAACCACGCCGATATGGTCGATTCACTCGCCGGCAGCAATGCGAGCGCAATTGCACGGCATGTTCCTCCAATTATACGTACCGCAAGACATCCCCACTCACGGTCCCGGGCTGTGGTCGTCCAACAAGAGATTTCTCCATAGTTTGATGGAACTTCCGTCGTCTGGCAGGGCCTCCTTATCGCACGCATTGGATGCTTTGACTCTTGTCCAAATAGGCTCGACATACCGTAACCCGCAGCTCCTGAACACAGCCGTGGAAGCGTATGGGAAGTCCTTACGAGGCTTAAGGATAGCTTTGTCGAAGCCGGAGAAGCTCAAGGATGACGCTGTACTGGCCACGACATGCGTCCTCTCGTCCTGCGAATTCTACACCCACTTCCGAGTCCATGGGCACTCGTGGGTCAGCCACCAGCATGGCACGCAGCGCCTTCTGGAGCAACGTGGGCCGGAATCGATTCTGAGCAGTCCATTGGCTGTGCATCTCTTCTATCAGCTCACGACCGGATCGTTATTCATGTCACTATTAACGCGAAGACGCGATCCGTATTCCGCAGCAAAGTGGAGCGCTGTGGAAACAAAAGCCACTGACATCCACGACGACCTCAGCGAGTCGAACCGGCTTGGACTTCGTCTTCCTGCACTCCTCGAGCGGCACGATCGTCTCGATTGGAATCATCCAGGATGCTTGGCAAGCCTCGACCATCTGCTGTTCGACTGTGAGCAAATGGAGATGGAGATGAAAAGCAACCTCGCAACGGTGCACGCCCGAGATGCCATGGAAGAGAAATCGTGGATCGCGTTGGTGGATATCGAGTACTTCCACCCATTCGCCGACTTGATCGAGAACCACACCATGACTAGAGCGTTCCGGTTCCCGAGCTTCCAGACGGGATACATCCACAGCTCTCACTGGTTCCGCATGTTCATGCTTCGGCAGACGATCCGGTCTCTATTCGACATGCGTCAGCGATTAGTGCCGGACTGGCTACCCCCTCCGAAGCGCGTCGTCCACGAAAAGGAACTCTTGTTTTACGTACTAAGTCTCTGCCGACTGGTACCATTCTTCATCGAACCGGCCCATGGAGCAACAGGGGACATGTGCTGCTTCTTCCTCCTCCGCCTTGCAGAACAATACTTTCGCGCCAACAGACACGGGCGATGGGTATCCTGGGTCGAGCACGTTTCCGCACGAGTCTTCATGAAAGGCATGAGTATGCCATTCACCACCATGCCACCAACGGAACCCGGATCGGATCCCAGTTCTTCGCCCCCCAATCTTCGCCGCGACGACGATGACAACAACAACAACGACGACGACGACGACGATGATGATCAGAGTGAACAACAACTCGCATTCAACAAAATCGAATTCCCCAACGCCCCTCTTCTCGCTGACGTCGGTCGCAAAGTGACGCCTCAAGGGACGGTGTGGATGCCTTCACGAGCACCATCATCCTCTCGAACGAATTCTTCCACGCCATCTTCACCTTTTGGTGTGGCTCATTCTCACGGCACAGCACAAGGTTGAAATGAAAATCTTGAATCTTGAATGCGCTATTATGCTGCGACTTTTACGACTCGTGTGTGTGTGTGTGTGTGTGTGTGTGTGAACCAGCAGACCAATTATACCGGAAAGATGCTAGGTATCGAGGGTATCTAACATGGTATATCTTTCGCCGACGACATGTGTATTTACCTTACCTTACCTTACCTACCTACAAGCACCGAGAACTCCAAAGTATCGAGATAGGGGCGCGAAGAAACTTTCCAGCAAAATTGTTTATTATGCATACTATTAGTTTGAGTGAAGCTTCCCTGTCCCTTTTTATGGATGATGAAAAGCACGTACAGTACATAACAAGAAATATATCTTAGCACCGTATAATGTGATATCTTTATGATATGTGTGACGTCCTGGTGGTTCATAGACATTAGACAGAGGGGCCTTTTTTCACTTGTGGTCATGTATGAATATGAACCCTATCTATCAGGTGCATGCAAAATCTATGCTCTACCTGAGGAATAAAATGTCCCCTGTGAGAAAAGAAAAATCAGACGATAAGCAACTTTGTTTGGCTCCTCGAGATATTTGTATTTACCTAGGTACTGTAGGTATACATCCATCTCTCCTAGTAATAAGTCTAGTAGCAGTAAAAAAAAAACAAAAGAACTTGTTTTGCCCACACAGCCTATCTTTCATGTATTATAAAGAGGGGGTATCAGTGTATCACATAATCAATCCATCAGGCATCCTCTCACACGCTCTAACCTTTAATTCCAACACTACCATCCTCGCCTCTCTCCTTCGCCGCCCCCTCCCCCCAACCCCGTTGCAGCCGAGCAGATGATGACCTCCTCATTCTCCTTCTCTCATCCCGCAAAGTCTTGAGCAAAAAAAATATGGCCAAAAGAATTCCGAGTCCAGCGAGTCCTATTGCTAAATATAATGCACAGCGATAGCCGTGTAAGAGATCTGGTGGTGTGCGTCCTCCGCGATTGACGTGGACTTCTACGGTTCCTGCGAAGCCGAGGCCGAGGGAGATGCTGTAGTTGACCTGGGAGGGGAATTAATTGTTAGCGATGGAATTATGTTTTTGCTGCGGTGATGTGGGAGGGGGGAGGGGGGGTTTGGTTAAGGAGTAGGGTAAATTTATTTGATGGAGGTTGTTTGGAAGGCCGAAGAATTATCATAAAGACTGAAAAACCACTCACAATCGTATTCACCAAGCTAGCAGCAACCCCTTGCTTCGACTTTTCCACCGAATCCGACACCACCAGCGTGGCCGCGGGGAAACTCATATCCATTCCAAAGGGCGTGACGAGCGTCGTGACGAATATTTGCGCCCAATAGATCTGGTGTACTGGTAACGTGGCAATCAAAATCGAGCCCGTCATGAAAGCGCAGAGCGCAATGATCATGACGACTGCGGGGCGAGTTTTGTGTAAAAGTGCTCCGGTGACGACGGCGGCTACGGCTCCGGAGATGGTGAGAGGTGATAGGTAGGCGGATGCAAGGAGGGGAGAGCTGCCGCGGAGTTCTTCGAGGATTTGCCAGAGGTAGAAGACCCCTGCGTTTTTGACGTTAGTGTGTGGAGAAGTGTAGAGTTAACGGGATGGAGATGGGGAGAAGAGGACGACGAACAGATTCCAAAGTTGGCCCAGCCGAGTGCAACACATCCGAGGACGAAGGCGTTGCTGGTGGTACATATCTCCATGGGAAGAAGTGGATTCCGGGCAATTTTTTGCTCGATCCAGAAGAAGACGGGTACGAGGAAAATTCCAGCAATCAGAGTCACAATACATTGTGCGTTTCCCCAGCCGACGATGGGAGCCTGGTTCCAGGCAAAATTGAAAAGTACCAGCGCAAGAATTCCAATGCCTGCTCCGAGGAGATCCAGCTCCCATACGGCACCCCACGAACATAGGGCATGTCCCTTGAGTCCCGGCTTATCGGTTTGCGGATCTGGAATCGCCCACGCCGCCGCAGCGGCAATTACGAAGAGGGCAATACCAAACGACCAAAACGTCCACGGCCACCAGGCCAACTGAGCGAACAGCGCAGCAAACGCCGCCCCGGCCATCGAACCTCCAGGCGCACAGGATCCAAAGATGGCAAAAGCCATATTCTTCCTTTTGCCAGGCCCGTACAATCCCCCGAGCAAAGCCAACCCATTGGGCAAACAAATCGCAGGTCCAATGCCCTGAAATACTCTCGCAAAGACAAACAGGACATGGTTGGAGTAGACGGAGAGACCTGCAACCACAGACCAGACTCCAAACCAACAATATCCGATGACGAGCATTTTCTTCCACCCGAATAAATCTCCCAATCGACCGGTGAAGAGAATGAAGGTTCCGACGGTGAGTGAATAGCCCGCGATCAACCAACTCAGCGTTCCGGGATTCGTTACGCCAAAGTCATCGCCAATGATGTGTAAGATGGCGAGCGTTTGGCCGAGTCCACATTGTGTGGTGAATTGGGCGAGGGCGATGATGCCCACGACGAGGATTTCTCGCGGGAGAGAGACTTCTTGCAGGAGGGATTTGGTGGGGGTTAAAGATGCATTCTCTTCTTCTTCTTCTTCTTCTTGTTGTTGTCGGTGTTGTTGGACTTCTCGATCGTGTGTGTCCAGCTGAGGCGGTTCGTCCGAGGATTCATCTTGGGGCTTTTCGGGATCCATGTTTTCCGAAGTGAAAGTTGTTTTTGGGTGCAGAAGGGATCGCTGCAGGAGGGGATTTGTTTGTTGTGAAGAATTTCCGGATTAGGCTACACGGCTGAGCAATCAAATGAGGATAAAAAACCTGGAAGACGGTACATTTTCTCGATGATGTCAGCAGAACGAGTGATCCGAGTGGCGGTTCCGCTCATTGAGATTTTGTTGATCGTGACCGGCTAGTGACCAAGGTAGTTTTTATCTTTGCTAATATACTAGCTGTATATAGCTTAGCACTCTCGAAGGGGTTAGACTTGTACGCAACACTGTTCAAAATTGCACTACATTACATGTGCCTGTAACCTGAAGGCTCCAAAAATCTGGCATTGGCGGAGTACGTGAATTGTACGTCAATGGTGGCTCATCTTCTTCCCGCTGCTGTCGACCGCATCCTCGATCTGGTCTTCCAGTGACTGGGGAGAGGACGTCCAACATCCCGAAAAACAGCATAGACGGTCATCCAATCCCCAAGACCTGGGCATATGCAATCCCACCATGCAGTGGAGATCAATATCACAGACGCAAAGCGCTGCATGGCTCAGATGGTCCGCAATGGGACTGAAGCTCTCAAGGGGTCCGGATGAGGTGATTGCTATCTACTGCAAAGCAGTTTTCTTTTCCTTTTTTTGGCTATGGGTGGTCTGCTTTCCGCAGTATCGTTCTGAGGGTGCTGACACGGCGGGACGGAATTATGTCTGACGTGAAAAAGCGTATCGTCAAATTCTTCTTAACAGGAAATTCGTTTATACTGTTCTGTGCCAGGTTCTTCAGTGGAATCAGCTCGAAGAGAAAGTCAGCATTTTGGTGGATATATGGAATAGTGCTGGCTCATTTCCACCATCAAAGTGCGGCAGTATTGCCATCAATGCGATTTGAGCGTGGTGAAAGGTCCCAATTCGATTCTTCGTGCGCCTCCAAAAAAACATGCAAGTCATGTCGGAGTGAGAGTGAAGAAGCTGAAGGCGAAGGTCCTTTCTGTGCCCCTGCTTCCCGTTTCTTCACTCCCGTCCCGCGGCTCGTCCGTAGCGCCGATACTAGCGCCGATCGGACGTGTCAGCCAGAGCTACATCATCGCCACTTTCACTGTCCTGCATTTCACCAACGAACACGCCTGTATAAGGGTGTAATCACATCATACTGCTCGGTACGATCAACAACAGCACCAACATGGCTGATACCGAGCGTCCTCGAACGCCTCCGCGACGGGCTCCTGCATCTGCGGCTTCAGCCAAGTCTCCCATCACACCCGAACAGGTGCGGCGGATGGAAGAGTCCCGCTTACGAGCCAAAGCACTTCGCAACCAGCAAGACGTCCGTCTGGCTCCATCTCGGCCCTCGCCGACATCAACCACACTCGCAGCAGGCCAGAAACGACCTCACGCCGCCATCACTCGAGACACGCCGGCCTCTTCCCGCGATGCTCGAAACAGCGTTCCCAGCAGCAATAATGGCCTTGCTTCTGCCCCCGACGATGGCATTCGAGCCGCGCGCAAATTTCAAAAATATGTCGAGTACGACTTCAGCAAAATGACAGATACGAAAGGCGGTTTCATGACTGCAGACGATGACCCCTATAATAAAGCGTTGCATGCGCCTGATCCCGACGGGAAGCCTGCGAATATGACGCTGCGAGAGTGGGAACACAAGCAGCTACAGCGGAAATTACAGAATGCAAAGGCAGGGCCATATGAGCCCGGGTTGTCTGCGCTGGACGGGAGGAACGCCAAGAAGTGCAGAGAGTGCGGCAGTCTGGAGATTGACTGGAACTGGGATGAAATGCTCCACACGCAAGTCTGTCATACGTGTAAAGAGAAGCTGCCGGAAAAGTACAGTCTGTTGACGAAGACGGAGGCAAAGGAGGACTATCTGCTGACAGACCCGGAATTGAAAGATGCAAGCTTGCTACCGCATATCAAAAAGCCCAATCCGCACAAAAGCACGTGGAACGACATGATGTTGTTCCTACGATATCAGGTGGAAGAGTATGCCTTCTCCGACCAGAAATGGGGGAGCGCGGAGGGGTTAGATGCCGAATATCAGCGCAGGACGCAAGAGACGAAAGATCGCAAAGAGAAGAAGTTTCGAAACAAACTCAACGAGCTCAAGAAGCGAACGAGAGTCGATGCCTACAAAAAGGCGAGGAGTGGAGGCGGAGGCGAGTTTGGCGATACGATAGGGAAAGGCCAACACGAACATGAATGGGGACGGAGCGTGGAGGATCCAGAGACGGGCATGACGAAGAAAGCATGTGTCGAGTGTGGTATGGAGGTGGAAGAGCTGGAATTTTGAAGCCTGCCCGACCATGATGACTGTGAGCTTAGTATGTGTTTGATGCAGCGCAAGATACCCCATTGAATTCCCGATATCAATTTCCCCATTTGCCATGGAATCGAGTGTTGCGAGACCACCTGTCGTGCATCGCGGTGATAATGCCGCTATCCGACTGCGTCATGTTTGGAGTTGGTATGAACAGCTCAATGAACGCCTTGTCTCGGTGATGCACTGGGCGGTCCGACGGATGGCGTCTAGAAACTCGGGCCCGAATTGCCTTGTATGCTCTTGTTCCTAAGAGGTAGACTGGTGGAAACGGGGTATTGCTACCTCCTATAAGAGTAGGTAAGTACCATTGTTGCCCGTGAACGGCATTTTTTTAAAATCGATTTATCCACTGCAGGGCACTCTGCTCCAGAGACGCCACTAACGCACGGCCCGCGACGACCCCGCCATTCGCGCAAACCCATGCCATGTAAACTCCACACTTTCATGGATCAAGCTGTGGTTTGTATGCTGATCCGAGGCTATTGCTATGTTATCCTTTGCAGGACTCGGACATCACGACAGTCTCCCTGTCATCACTCTCTCTCTCTCTCCTCAACATGTAGTCTTCATCACTCCCGCCTAATGCCGAAAAGGCATACCACCACCACCACCACCGACAACGACCAATCATGAGCTTCAACAGAAACCCCGTCCTAATCGACGGCGCCGCCACAGGTCTAGGGAATACACCTCCTCTCGCCGGCCTGCGAGTTCTCGAATTTGCAGGGTTGGCTCCAGGTCCGTACGCAGGAATGTTATGCGCAGACTACGGCGCCCAGGTGCTTCGCATCGATCGCGCACATCCCCAAGCACATTCAGACGAGGCAACCTCTCATCCTCCTCCCACACCCGATCAACTCACCCGACACAAGTCGTCTATTGCCGTGAATACCAAAACGCCGCAAGGCATTGCTCTGATTAAAGATTTGGTCAAACATGTAGATGTTCTCATTGATCCGTTTCGGCCGGGGGTATTGGAGAAGATGGGTCTGGATCCGACATCTGTGCTGCTGCGAATTAATTCTAAACTCATCGTTGCGCGGATGACGGGATTTCGACGAGATGGTAAATATAAAGATATGGCTGGTCATGATATCAATTACATTGCAGTGTCGGGTGTCCTCTCCATGCTCGGACCGGCGGGACAGAAACCTTTCCCGCCAACGAATTTACTGGGAGATTTTGCTGGAGGGGGCGCAGTGTGTTTTATGGGGATCCTGTTGGCTTTGTTGGGGAAAGAGAGGACGGGACAGGGTCAAGTGGTGGAGGCGAATATGGTGGATGGGTCCGCGCATTTGGCATCCATGCCGAGGTTTGGACTCAAGACTCCCATGTGGAATGCGCCGAGGGGAACGAACACGCTTGATGGCGGTGCACCATACTATAGCACATACGAGACCAAGGATGGGAAATATGTGGCCGTGGGGGCTTTAGAGCCGCAATTCTATGCTGAGTTGCTGAAGGGGTTGCAGGTGGACGCGAGCAAGTATAGCTGGGTAAAGAATCGGCTCGACAAGCAGACATGGAATGATCAGAAGCATGCATTTGAGAAACTGTTCAAACAAAAGACGCGAGCCGAGTGGGAGGCTATCTTCGACGGCACGGATGCATGCGTTACGCCTGTCAAGACGCAGCAGGAACTCGAAGCGGAGGGATTTGACCAGAGGCCGATTGTTACACTCCAGTCGTCGCCAGGTCTTGCCATCCATGAGGCCGATTCCGATGACAGAGATCCTGCGACCGGACAAGGCATTGGTGTCGAGGATGGAGGCTGGGCAAGTGCGGGACTTTATCCTGGTGAAGGCGGGGAAGGTGAGTACAGCTACCTACAACAGCTGGAGGGGTCTCATTATGTCTCCAGACCATTGCTAACTTACGATTCCTCTAGATCTGCTCGGAAAGTGGGTGGGCTGGAGTCGGAACCGAGACTACGATGTCGTGAACGGCGGGCTAGAGCTCAGGCCGGGTTTGAGATCGAGACTATGAGGCATCAAAGACTGTGGCTGCTCGCTGTGTGATTCTCGATACCATCAGTCGTCAGCGTATCGCATGCGAACTGATGGGACGCCGTTGTTCTCCATGGCAAACATGATGACCACCTAACCTCTAGATGTCATGCCCACATTCGCCGGTCGAGACTCGAATGGCACTCTCGCTTAGGTACCCTTGCTCTTGAAAACCCGATCCGAAATTGATCAGTGAGACAAGGACTACATCATCTGGGCATACTTGCTTCCACGGCTTATTCCCTCATATACATCTGACTGAATTAAGGCGTCCGCCCTGTGTGTGCATGTAGCTTGGCGGCGGCGGCTATGAGTGCCTACCTGAGGTAGTTTGGCAATAATGGCGCACACTCATGGTCCATGGAGTCGTGGTCCTCCAGCACTACTAGTTCTAGTTAGCGGCTCTACAATATCGCAAGGTAAACTTTACCCCCGCTGTGTTGACAAAACGTTGTGGTTCGCGGGCGAGAGGCGTCAGTAATATCAATGCCCGCACCAATACGAGCTCACAAGCTCAAGCACACTGGGCGCGTATATGATTATTAATGCAGTTTCCTGGACCTTCCCACAGTTCCTACCGAGCAGCGGGGGACAGAAGTGTGATGATTGTTCTGGCGATCCATGACAGCAGCACCACATGTGGTACGAGCGAGGTGCGAGATGAGGTGGTGACGAGTCCAGGATACTTGGAGGCTGTAGGCTGTAGGCTGTAGGCGCGTGTTCCATGTACAGTCCGTAGGAGCGTAGGAGGTAGGTCAGGGAGATGGAGGTGATGTTGGGTCCACTGTCCAAGCTGTAGGTGGTACTACAGAACTATAGCAGAAACACGATTAGGTCCGCTGATACGGTCCATGTCGTCCACCCGGCAGCCAAGAAGACGAAACTTGAAGGTGACGGGATGGTTAAGGTAGGAGGTACTAGGAGGTAGGTAATGAAAGTCGCTCGAACTAGTCAAAGGCTTCGCTTCCATTCCTTCTGGGCAGCGGGCAGCAGGATTTGTCGTCGCGCCTGCATCTGCACCTTCCACGCCCAGCCATACCTGACCTCCTACCCGTACCTCCCTCCCGTGTTCACAGGTCCTCCGTGTTACAGTGTCCAATCTCCACGTGGTGCGGTTCATTGTGCACTAAACACACCAATCGTCACCTGCACCGGTGCACCCTCTCTCGACTACCCACCGGCACTCCCTGCGCGCCGGCGAGTATACTTTCGTCCCTGGCCGATAGACCGCTTATCGCCGGCGGGGAGCTCCTACACCAGAACCGCCAAACATGGGTCTCTTCAAAAGGCGGGACAGGCACCACGACACCACCACCACTACCACCATTCGCAACCGTACCGACAACCACTACCACAACCACAACACCACCACCACCGGCAACGCCTCCGTGTTCCACACTACTGCCAGCAGATTCACCATGAAGCGCGCCAACAGCACGGAAGCCTCGCCAAGTGCTAGCATACCCAGTGTCCCACTGCCCAGGGCGCCCGATCCCCAGGTGGACCCTGCCGCGTACCTGCGCAGCATCTATGCAGTGCGCGAGCGGACCAGGTTAGTGTTGGAAAAGGCGAAGAGGAACCAATTGCGCCACTTCACGGTGGACATGTCCAAGTTCCCAGACACGGCAGCCTACGTCGTCTCCATCATCAAGGTACCTTATACTTCCACACACACACACCATCGGCCTTCTGGCTTGCAGCTGAGTTCCATGATAGCGAGACTTTGATCCCGACTACAGCAAGATTCCTCCCCACGGCAGATGGCAGCACTTTGAGGTCGGCGGCATTCCGCGAATCGACCAACTCATGCGCACGTGGCCCAGCACAGTCGACGATCGGGAGCGAACCCGACGCCTCATTGACCTCTTCCTGGTTTCCGTCCTGCTGGATGCTGGCGCAGGAACGAAATGGCAATACAAATCAAAAGAGAGTGGCAAGATATACAGGCGTAGCGAGGGCCTTGCAGTGGCCAGTCTGGAGATGTTCAAGACGGGCTTGTTCTCCAGTGCTGTAGATCAGCCCTTCCAGGTCGATAGCGACGGTCTGAAGAAGTTGACAGTTGAAAGCATGGCCAAGGGACTGCAAGTGACTCCTGACAATCCCATCGATGGACTGGAAGGTCGGACAAATCTGCTCATCAGGCTAGGAGACTCACTTCTGAATCAGGAGATATTCGGTCCGGAGCACAGGCCTGGAGGCATGCTCGATTATCTGCTTGGTCATCCTACTACGCATGCGGGATCAACCCCAGTCGTGCCCATCCCCACGTTGTGGGACACCCTCATGAGCGGTCTCGTTAGCATATGGCCAGCCACGCGAACACAGATTGATGGCGTGGCACTGGGAGATGCTTGGCCATGTGGATCGATGCCATCACATCCCACACAGCCCTGGGAAAACATTGTCCCTTTCCACAAGCTGACACAGTGGCTCACGTACTCGTTGATGGTTCCTATGCAGAAGCTGGCGCACGTGCAGTTCGCAGGTGTGGACCTCATGACAGGACTGCCCGAGTACCGCAATGGCGGTCTCCTCGTGGACACAGGCCTTCTGACCCTCAAGGAGGAGGATGCGCAGCGTGGTCTGGAGCAGTACCACATGAACTCGACGAGGAAAGGCCAGCCAAATATGGAGGTCGTCCCTCTGTTCACCGCAGATGACGATGTGATTGTCGAGTGGCGCGCGCTGACTGTTGGCTTCCTTGACGAGTTGCACGGGGAAGTCAATGCCCTTCTTGGACTCAGTGGAGACGAAAAGCTGAGCCTGGCGCAAGTGCTTGAGGCCGGCACCTGGAAGGTGAGTTGATGCTATATGTGCCGGGTGGAGAGACATGTGCTGATGTGACCATATAGGGCGGCCGCGAGATTGCTGAGGTCTCGAGACCCAACACGAAGGAGCCTCCAATCATGATCTTATCTGATGGCACAGTGTTCTAGTGTAGCAGCCTGTGGACCGGTTGGAGCTATGATCCGCAGACATGGATAGTGGGCGAAGACGCCAACTTCGACCCACGGACATGGGCGAGAAGGCAGTCCACCGCGATGGATGGCGCCCCGTCTCAGTCACGACGTACCAGTAAACAACTAGAGAGAGTTACAAACGCTCCGCAAGGCGACCACCCGCTGCGAGCGCACCCACCAAGACATCGTAGCCTGACAGGCACCAGCTTCTTTACCACGTACGAAGGCCTTGCGACTTCGGAACCACTCATGCGACATTAACGGCCGATGTGATGCGACACGCTTTACGAAGTGCTCGGTACGATGTACATGCGGAGGTTCCACTTCATGATGGTTACAAAAAAAGATGTTTCTGTATCGTTTGCTGTACTTTCAGCGTCCCTGATAATGTGGAATATGGCTGTGCAGTCTGCCTGTTGGGCGAGGCGACCTTTGCATTGATAGAAGCAAGCCTAAAAGCATTTTTTTTTATAGAATGAGGTCGCCAGCCTTTCGGAAAATGAACATGACGGCCTTTCGATTCACCTAAATTTGGAACCATCTTTCGTCGATTGCGCCGAGCAGACGTTTTCACATGTGGAATTTGGCATTTCCGAGACACGAGCGTCTCATTGATACCTACCTGAGAATCGCGTCCATCGATACCCACACTCACATCCTCCTCAATCTCGACTCCGATTGGGAGTCCACCTCTTCACCACAAACTCTCTTACCTTGTACCTCCTCAACAAAGCTCCCACATCCTCGCCGCCTCCCCCTTCTCCCCCCGTCATCGTCATCGGCATAGGCGCAGGCACATCCACATACACCAAAACCAACGTCTTCAACACCTGACTCTGCACACGATTCACACAATGCATCCACCACCAATCCCCACCACTACCTTTAACCCTTCTTTCCCTCTCCCCCTGCTCTGTCGTCCAGTATGCGTGCGAGTATGCCGGAACGATGATGATGGCAAATTCGGCGTGGCTGAACACTGGACCCCGATAGTAGAGGAGGTAGTCGACGCTGAATTTTAACCCTGGTCGTACTACCCAGCCGAGTGAGCGGAAGTGGTGGTAGACGACGTAGTTGAGGAGAAAGGGGTCGTCGGGTCGGATGGTTTCGGAGGAGGCGGGGGGGAAGAAGCTGTGGGCGGAAAAGATTTGGAGGAGGGATTGCGTGCTGGAAGCGGCGGGATTGAGAGTTGAAGGGGGAGTGGTGGGGAGGTGGATTTGTAGGACTCCGAGGCCGTAGGAGAGGAAAAAGGCTTCTTCGAGAGTGAGTTGGAGGTGTTCTTGGTTGGGGAAGGTGGGGATGGGGTTTTCCTTTTCTTCTTCTGAGTTTTCGTCTGCATCTTTGACAATAACTCCCAATTGAGGCGGAAGAAGTTCCGTCACAGCAGATTGGGGAAGTGTAGCAGTTTCCACAAATTTGGACTTTGCCTCGACAATGACATTTTCTGATTTGCCTTCTTGTTCCGTCCCTTCCACTCCTTCCACCTCCACCTCCTCCAGAACGGCAACAACAACACTCGAATCATCAATTTTCCCCTCCTCCACCAATCTCTGCCTCTCAATTTTCTCCGCCTCCACTCTCGCACGCTCCAATTTAAACAATCTTCTCTTCTCTCTCCTCGCATTCGTCACTTCCTCCGCCGTCCCTCCACTTCCCCCCGCCCGCTTAGCCATCAAACGCGCCTTCTCGCGCTCGACCCAACTCGGCTCACTGCGACTGAGCGTCCCCTTGCCGAAAAATCCCATTTCCCATAATGCTCGAGCGTGCACGGGATCCGTGATGTGTACGGAGCGAGTTTCGGGCGAGAAAATTCCTTGGTATTGTTGTGCGGCGTGGGATGGGGGTGTTGATAGGAGTTGGGAGAGATAGGCGTATGTGAATCGGAGAAGTGATATGGGGTTTGTTGGGTGGAAGGCTGGGAGGGGGTGGACTTGGAGTGGTAGAGGTTTGCTGTGGATGAGAGTGTAGTTGGGCTTTTGCTTTTTGGGAGGTCGTTTTTTATTGTTGGGTGTTGGGGACTGCATGGCGGGTGGACTTGGTGGTTGTTGGTGTGCTGATAATTCGGATGCAAGGCCATTGGCTCGTGTTGGAGAGGCCATTGGTTTCTTGATGCAGTGGGAATCGTGTGTTTTTCCTGGGCTTCGTGTATGGATAACCCAAAATGGCTTGCTTGACTGAAGTGTTTTGTTTCTGAAATTTCTCTGGCCTTTTTCTTGCACAATGCACCCTCCCAAATCAACCCCAACCAAAACTACCTCCTTGTGTTCGAACCAGATACGACGGACTGGATATTCCTTAACAGTGACAACCAGCCTCTGCCAAGCAATATCAACGCGAAGACTGAATGTTGCTCATTGTACACTGCTGACTATGGTCCTTCACATGCAGTCCAACTACTCCACATAAACGCGACAGTACGGCGACGGAAGCCCAAAGCGGCCAACCGCTATCCGTTATCCGCGAAGTCTGTTTATAGGGCGGATCTTACCAGCCCCGGACAACTGTAATCAGTTAGCCCGCATCGGACCGCTCCTAGCGCTTGCACAGACCAGAGCCACTTCGGCTAGCACCTCCGTACAGATCTTGATTGCACAGGGCAGCCAAGAGATCGAGCTGCGATCGGCCTAATAGAACTAGAACTAGAACTAGTCTGCTGGACCGTTCTCTCCCCCTTTACACCTAGTACCTATTCTTCTCTACTTCATCCTGCTCTGGCCATCGCACCTCATCCAGACACTGTGAATGTCGCGAAAATGATGAGCCACAAAGACGGAAGGATGCATCTGCACGAAGAGGAAGGTTACTCACTCGGAATCCCGCTTCCTCCCAAGCATCCGTGGACTCGAGCTCCACCATGCGCGCAGATAAGTACCAGACTTAACCTTCCGCTTACACTCTTCTCGTGATCCGAGTCTCACCCAAACACTCCGCACTCTTTCTGTCCACATGTCGCCGGCGACTCGCAGTCAGACGCTGCGAGAGGCCACCGCTGCCAGTACAGATCTCCCACAACACAACCTCGCCAGCCCGCAGCACCTGAACGATGTCATCCAACGGCGCAGTACCACCGTCGGCAAGACCAGTGCCGGGTCCACTGAGCTTTCGAAAACGCGATACCCCGATACGCCGCCACGATTTGTAATTGACCTTTCGCTTCCGCCCGAACAGCGATATCTCGAAGTATGCGCCGTCTTCAACCAAGAAGTCAATGGTCTAACCCCATTGTTTGATGAAGTTGTTGGAGGTATGCTCTACCGGGTACCTTTGATCTGGGTGCATCTGGTGTGCCGCTTGCTGCTCCGTCGAGTCCATGATGGAGACGAGAATCGAGAGCTCAAGGGCATTAGCAAGGCCACAGGTGTGCCCATGTATCTGCTCGTATGCTTCAACGTGCTTCTGGATCTGTTCATGGGCTGCAGTAGTGGTGGAGCGGCGGTGAAGGATGAGGAAAAGGGAGGCACAAAGATGTTGCATTTCAGAACGCTTGATTGGGGCATGCCTTCTTTACGCAAAGTGGTAATCCAGCTGGACTTCAAGACTTCTCACGATGGGCCTATTGTCGCATCGAGCCTGACATACGCAGGATACGTAGGAGTGTTGACCGGAGTGAGAATGCACATGAGCTTGAGCTTGAACTTCCGGCCCAACCGCAACGAGAAGGGTCACTTCTGGCCAGACTCGAGATACTATTGGCATCTCTTGATGGTTCTTCTTGGGCATAGACGCAGCATATCCAGCGAACTTCGGCGATTCCTGATACCCAGGCGTAAAAAGCACTTCTGGCCATCGGGGTCGCCAGAAGCGTGGGAAATATGGACATACGAGGATATTGTCAAGATCGTAACGCATGCAGATGAGGCCCGCGTGCCGTTGAAGAGCACAGCGTGCTACTTATGCTTCAGTAATGGCGTTGAAACCACAGTGGTTGAAAAGGACTACAGAACAGCAATCGCGAGAGCTAGCGACAATTTCGTCGTAGTCACAAACACAGATGCCGACCGGCCCGACAGCACAGCAACTCAGAGCAGTTCTGGGACGCAGTATAGCAGAGACACATACAAAACTACGGGCACAGATAACAGTACCGCTGGAACTAGTAACTATGAACAGAAAGCGCCGACCGGCATGGAGGACCTTCTGAGTGAGGCTAAAGACCGACAGCAGTGTGCTGAGCACAATTACTACAATTTGCGGGCGAAGAAGGCCAGACGGAGTATGACGGCGGACGACATGAAGCAACTTGTGACGGAAGAGGAGGTGATTTCGCTGGTGCAGTCGTACCCCACCACGAATGAAGAGACGCATTTTGCTTGCGTGATGGACCCGACGGAGGGCAATGTCAAGTGGTGTAGAAGATGGGTCAAGCCCATTTCAGCGAAGTGGATTAGGAGCCATATGAGTGAGACTTGATAGGATGAGGAGACCACCTACCCTACCTTAGGACCTTAGGTACATGTAGATAGCTACCGATGCAGCTTTCCATGGACAGATATGAATATTTTCGTAGGAGGTAGTAATCAGGTACAATGAATGGTACATGAACGCGAAATGCCTTCTGAAACCTGGGTCTTGCGCCAGACACGGATCCCACGCCTTCACCGTTCGGCAGGGCGGATGGACTGGTCCGAAGATGTATGTGCCACAGAGGTATATTGGAGGTAGGTCTGAGACTGCAAACTGCATTACTTTGTCGGTGTGTGCTTCGCGTTGCTATTGGCGCATAGGTAACCTTCAACATAGCACCTACTGTAGGTAGCCTCCCTCTCTTTGTGATGATGATGTTGGTTGACTGGTATACATGTATGATGTACCTGTGTAGGTAGGTCAGGTAATGCTGATGGGAACCTGGTCCATTCACACGGCGGTAACTAGTGTGTTACCCAGCCGATAGGAGTGGGTCTCAATTGGAGGTTGGAGAGCGCCACAGCATCGGTTTCATTGGTCCATCACGTCCAACACGCTCTTCACTCCACGAACCTCACGCGTCCTGGGCACGCTCACCTTGCATTAGCCCCTCTTCGCTGAGCGTTTGAGGCCACAGCCCACTCACTGGTTGCTGGCAGACTGGGAGGAAGCACATAGGTACCGGTACCACCACCTGTAGCCTCGACTTCGACACGTCCGATTCCATCTCCCTCATCCTCCTCCTCTTCTATACCTGTCACGCTCATTCACTTACCTGTCTCTGATCCATACTGCCTGCCTCCTCGCCGTGGAGTACCTAGTGTCGTTGTTATATTTCTGTTGCCCGTCCAGACTACGCCCGCGACTAGACCAGGGCTTCTCTCCACTCGCTTCTTTTCCATTGTCCAGGGTACTCGTACGCTGGTCCGACGCGTTCGCAACTTCACCTCCGATATTTCACCATCAATGGCGACTGCTCACGCTCCTATGGCCAGAGTGCCGTTTGCGCCCATCGACAATCCGCGTCTACAGCATCTCGCCAGCGCGAAGAATCGCCAAAATGGTACGTGACTGCCTCAAACGCGTCGTGAGCACCCGCGCAGCAGGTTAGAGACATGAGCTTATCCGGTTCGCGTAGGACTCTTCACGCACAAGTCCTCCACCACAGACGCGAAGAGTAGCAGCAACAGCATGAAGAGCGGCCACATCAGCATCACCACCGCCACCACCTCTTCCCATAAACGTGCCCATGATTCTTCCACATACGACGACGACTGTGACAGTGAAAACGTCGACCCTGCCATGTTTGATTCACCGTCAAAGAAGATCAAAGGCAGCATGTTTGCCCACTCCACCACGAAGCCATTCACATACAGCTCGGGCTCGAGCCACCACACCCCTGCAAGAATTTCAATGCCACCACCCTCCTCCTCCACCTTCTCCTCCCCACGCTCTTCTCACACACCTTTGCGTGCGAACATGTCTTCACCACGAGCACCAATGACTGCACCAGCTGGAAGATCACCACAGAGAAAGCGCGCTGGATTGAAATCAACCCGACGCACTTCCGCTCCATTCTCGCGTGTCAACCCGCCATCGTTCAACTCCACCTCAGCCTTCGCACTTCCATTCAGTCTGGACGCAGCACTCAGCAGCTCTCTCCCTGGCTCCACTCCAGCATCTACACCCACGCCCAACATGTCTGGTGCCACCATTGCCGAAAGCATGCCCAAGACCTGGCTCTTCGAGATTTACGAAGACTCTCCCGAGGAGGAGGCCGCCAACTTGATGGAACATAGCACTCTGACTCTCGACCTGTCTTCTGATGATGAGGATGGCAAGAAGGTTGACGACTACCGTGGCAAAGAAAACACGCCACCAGAGGGCTATGACGCGCCGACCGCCTCGAGGTCCAGCTCGTCCACCACTCCTCTCCCAGTGCTGGGTTCCAAGAAAGACATTGTCAGGAAGAAGGTCGTCAAGGATGAGATGGATGACGGATCGCGGTCGCCATTGTCAGATCTCGAGACTGAGGACTTCTATCCTGAAGGCTTGACCAAGGACTCGTTTGTACTCGTAGACGAGGTTGTCGAAGAGCCGGCTGCTGCACTCACTGACGCCAAGGAGGTGTTGTATGGTGCCGTCACTGCGAAGGTGGTCACTGCTCTTGACAAGGACGAGATTGTCATCTGGCAGGATAAGGAGGCTGTCTGAACAGAGATGGAACGAACCTAGGTTCACTGTCATCAATGGTAACCTCACGGAGCGGTGTTTGGACCCAAAGGTTTCTTTCTGTACCAGTCATCACTCTGGTGGGTGGGATGGTCATCACATGGCGTTTGGGCTGTCTGGGTACCCTATGAACCTGAAGCGGGTGGAGACTACAGCAGTGCTACGATGTCTATGCGTTTATAATGCTTGTTCATGAGAAAAGTGAAACAGTAATTCCCTCTCTCTGTCTCTGTCTCTCCCTTCCCGTTCTGTACCTGCTCCTCACGCTGACTTTGTGTGAGTCCTCGTTCGTCTCGTCGGCACATTACTGAAATTCTACCTGTAAGTACGCACCACCGCCATCACATTACATGTAAGGTACCTTACATGGGTACCTACCCAACTCACATAAATTGTATGTACACGGCCACCTCGCCTCACATACAGTACCTGAATTATGCTTCCCTTGTGCTTTCGCGTAACGCAACCAATATGTAGGTATGCAAGCATTGTCCTGCCACGATAGCCCCCGTCTCTAGTATGTTATCCCTTCTATCCATCCGTCCATCTGTCGTTTTGGAAAGACAGACAGACAGGCGGACAGGCAGACAGTTGTAGGTAGGAGGGATTGGCAGCTACGGCGGTAATGAGTAGCGGAGTTGGGTTTGATGATGAAAGATGAGTGAATGACGGAGTGAGTGAGTGAGGGAGGGAGGGAGGGAGTGACTGAGTAAGTGAGTAAGTAAGTAAGTGAATATGAGTTCAAAGAGTGCGTCTAGGGATGTTTCCAACTCACTATAGCGGCGGCCTGGCCGTGGAGGACCTACCTTGTACTAGACTAGACCAGGCCAGGCCGGAGATGCTAGACCTAGGCAAGCCAACCCCTCCTCTGGTAGGCAGGCAGGCGGACGAGAAGTCTACCTTACCTTACCTACCTACCTCATGCATGACCTTTTATGGAATGGAGAATGGCTTTGAACCGTACCTTTAGGCTGCCGATTGGGATACTGTACCTATACAGCACATGCTGTGGTGGGCAGGGCAGGTCAGGCACGCCGCGCCGCACGCTGCTCGAATTGCTGCGGGGCTTTTCCTCGAGGTTTTTCCCTCTTTTTCCCTCTTCTTTTTTCAAATCGGGAGCTAGGTCCCCGTTTGGCATGATTCCAAGAGACGTAAGTCTTTGTGATCCTGCTCATGCAGCCGGGGCATACCTCTCGATTGTTGATCCTCCGATGCGAGTCTCGTCGTCCTATCCGTTCCACCGCCGTGTTATCGTCGCCCGACTTCGCCGTCACCGTCGCCGTCCACCTATCTATCATCCGCACACCAGGTCATCGTCGTGACAATGTTGACACCAACCAGATATCAACTGCAGAGGTGGTCACTACCAAGCATCAATGCATGATGGAAGAGCATGTGTATTGCGAGTAGAAAGACAGGCATGAGGGAAGGAACACAAGCCAGGTCAGCCAATCGCTGTTCTGCGGGAAGGGCCCGAAGCGCGTTTGAAGGTATATAAATGAGAAAAGTTGTGCTGCTTACGTCCCCCGCAAGGGGTGACACTTGGTCAATTTGAAACAATACAGAGAAGATTAGCATGGCCCCTGCACTAAGGATGACACATGCAAACAAAGTGAGCAAAACAATTTTTTTGTGCTTTTGATTCGTGTGTTGTGGGTGAAAGACTTTTGCTCCGTTGAGGTGTCGTGGAGAGAACGATTTGGAGGCTTGTAAAAGTTTTGCCCCCGTCGAGGCTCGAACCTTGGTCTTGGCATGTGTCTTGCGGATATTCACTTCAGGTCCCCAGTCAGCTTTCTTTTGTGACTTGGTACCTTATGCTCACGACACGCGGTCCATCGAGATGGCTGAGATTGATGGAACTACCTTCAAGCAATTGCAAGACGTGTGCCCATGCCGAGAAGTAATGCGCAGAGCATCGAATGGAAAGATCAACCTGCCCGACGTAGCTTGCCACGATCTCGCTACAAGTCAGCAGGCGTGAAGTCCACCTAGTAGGTAGGTAACGCAGGCCTCACCTACCTCGCCTTGTCGTCTCACGCGCCTCTTCACGCGCATGCTTGACGACTCTTCTCTACTGAGAATTTACATCAACCGTTATTGGATCCGAAGACAGCATCACCATCAGCACTATGCCTTACGATGATCAGTCCGAGGACTTCGATGCACTAATCGACTTCCTGAACTCGCGCCTCGATGTTCATCCCACCGGAGCCATTGGACCAGCACGCGAAAGCCCATTGCAGTGCTACCTTCCCATTCATAGCTCCTACAAAGGCCAACAGACTCGGATGTACAGCTCTGCGCATGGCTGCATGGAAGCCTTGTCGCCTCGCGGAGTCCAGCGTGTCCAGGAAAGTACATCGGGTCACAGAGCCGTTGTGTTCGATCGTGATATTATCAATACCTGGAGGCTGCCAAACATCACCACTGCATATCAGGTATTCTTTTGGGAGCAAGCCTTCCAACGGGCGTTGGCGCAAGAGACGGTACTTGTTGTCATTGAAGCCTTTCTCGAGCAAGAAGGCGCCAAACTTTGTAAGTGGTGCATATGACTATGGGCACCTCAAGACTGGAGAGCTTCACCCTCATGTGGAGAGCGTTATTGACCACTGCCAGTCGATTATGATGGGGCCGCCCTCCTTACTCGATTCAATGACCATCTGAAAAGCCTCACAACGCATACCATCACGATCACGATGTCAAGCATCGTTCAAGACATGATGGAAGAATGCAGAGCCTACAGAGACAATGTCGGAGAGGCCATGGCTTGGGACTTGCCAAACATGGCTGACAATGTGGCTGATTTCGTCCTGTCACGAGAGTGTTGGCGATACGGAGAAGGTCGCTTGCCAACAGTAGAAGTCACCTTCGAAGTGCCCAGAGCGCGGCGTTACTGCAACTCTAGCGATAACATCCGACTGCACTGCCAATACTCCTGGTTTCCGCCAGTAGTCACCTTCCACAATCTCGAGAATGTGGCGTCTGAATATGGAAACTTTGTTCTCACGCCATCTATCGGCACCCAAAGACCATTCGACTGCATGTCGAATGTAAATATTAGCTACTTTATCGGGCAGGAAGAAACATGGCTTCGATAGGACGAGCGCCACCGATGTTTCCAAGGACGAATCCCCGGTATTTTTGCTTCGCATGCTGGTGCAAGAAGACTGGATGTCTATACTATGCCACTGGAGCTCGTGGCCATTATCGTCAAATCATATCCAGGTAGTGTCAAGTACGAGACGACCATCCGATGCGAGATTCCAATCACTGTAAGGCGTAGGCCAGACGAATGTGCCAGTCTTCGAGCATTCGACCAGCTGCCTTCACCTGCGAAGCGATTTCTGCACAAGGCGTCGTATGAGCACCTCCGTGCACCCTGGACCAATGTGGAGGTGCGCATGGTGCCAGAGATACCCCTCGACGTGAACTTTGGCTCAACCCATGTCAACCGTCGAGGAGAGCTTGCATCTGATTCCGAGGATGGAAGCCCAATGAAGAGTCCCAAAGCGATAGACGTCACACTGCCACCATTGAAGTCGCCGCTATTCAACAGGAGCCCACCCACTTCTGCCTCAAGGTCGACTCCGCACTCTGAGAGATTTGTGATATCTCCAATTGGGCACGATGAACATGGTGGCAGACGGTCAGAGTCTATAGACTCTTGGCTGGGATCAGAAGTGAGGCTTCCCATCCGGAGCCGTGGCTCACGGTCACTCTTCGCAGCTACATCCCCATATGGCCGAGCGAAGCATTCGAGGCAGCACCATGGGCGTGAAGAGCCTACCGCTGGAAGTGCAGACACTCGAGTCACGTCACCACAGAAGAGGCAGGCGGCTGCATGCGTGGATCATGTTCTGGCGAAGAAGTCTAGCGCATTAGCTGGAGCGGATGAGAATCGCTTGACTCAGTCGCGCGAGGAATCGATAGATGATAGTAGTAATGGGGAGCAGGATGATTCCGAACAGACCGAGCCTCATCACGCTGCTTTGCGTGATGACTCTGGTACTCAATCAAAGTCAAGATAAGATGCGCGTGAAAATCAGATTGGGGAATAGGTCAATGTTCGAGTTGTTGGAAATCCAGAAATTCAATTGGGATTTTTTTTCTCTTCCTCTGCAGGTGTTCCGATGAAGCCAGATATTTCTCTCCTTGTATGGCAGTTTTACCCAATGTTGTTACGCATAAGTAGCCTGGAGAACGACAACAACAACAACAACAACAGATGGAGATTTATACTAGGTAGGTATGTTTGGTTCTGGGAGTAAAAAGGCGCTCGCTGCTCCGGGAGGACTTGGGTACTCAGGTAGCGAGTGAATGCTCTTTTCTTCTTGAGCATGCCTGATATGATGGACGGAATTCCTTAAAAAGCTAGGTACCCGTCATTCGAGACACTACCAGAGGAGGTATTGTGGGAGGATCGTTATCCTCACTGCAATGGCTTACTAAGTTTTACAGAAGGTCCTCCCTCCCCATGCCTTCCAACGCCATCGCTATGCATGCATCTTCAGTAGGTATCCATGTTCCCCAGTCTCTACACTTTTTTGCACTACTTCTTCCCACTCTTCTTGTTCTTCTTGTTCTTACTCTTCGCATCTTTCCCCTTGGAACCTCTAATCACCAAGTTCCCTCCCAACTTCGTCTTTTGATAATTTCGAACGATACCCTCCACACTGCCCATATCGTGTTTCGGATGTCGCATGTAGTACAGCTTCGCTCTCCTCGCTCTCCTCTGCTTCCTCTGCACAAGCTCTATCCCTTCCACATTGGGCGAATAGACTTTAAACCACATTTCCACACCCACTCTTGTCAATTGACCTCGTAAGAGGATAGCGGTGTCTATGGGACTATTTCGTTGTCGAATGTTGAGGCAGACTCCGGCAAAGTCATCGCCGTTCTTGAGGCGGACTAGAAGAATGTCGCCTGGGTTGGCGTGGTCGGGATTCGTGGGAGAGAATAGACGCGTTCGAGCGCCTGTGGGATCGAGGACGGCAAGCTGGTCTGCGCAGAGTTTGGCGATGGGGTCTTTACAGAGCTTGAGGGTCGATCGTGGTGGTGGAATGGTTGGGATTCTGCGGGCACTTTCGTCGAACCCTATTGCGTGGAGATTGGAGTTGTTAAGACGACCGGATTGAGCCTGATCGAAGAGGCAGAGAGAGAATGGAGTTATGACATACGGTTCTGTTTGGTCGCGACGGAGGGTCTGAAGCCCTTGGAGGGAGGAGGAAAGGCGGATTTGGGCATGAGCGAGGGATACACCTCACGTTGCCGCTGCTGGGGAATGTCTTCGGAGATGGAAGCCATCGCGTATGTTCTCCTGCTGCTGCTGCATTGTTGACGTTCGGCTCGACATTGTCGCAGCGCCTGTTTGAAGCCCGCCAGAGGGCGAGCCGTGTGTATGGGCGCGGACATGGTGGTGGTATGTGTTGGTGTATGTATTTAGCTCTTAATCCTCCATAAGGTAGGAGATACCAATGCTGGGGCTGGCTGGCTTGCTGGCGGGCTGTCTGTCTGTCTGTCTTCACTTCACTGCGGATAGCCGTCTTGGCATTCCCGCGGCATCTCCGTTCAGATCTAGGTCTGTCGAATCAATGCCGCCGAATCTGATGACCACACCATCGGCTCCACTCCACTTTCTCGAGAACATTGTGGTCAACTGCCACCAAACAACCCCGTCATATCCTCTCTCCCACAATGGCCACCGGGACGACTTGCGCAGCCGCTTCAAGACTAATCTCAAACACCATTCAACTTGGAGCACGAGATTGCACATCCTTGTCCGGCAGTAGATGGCAATCGACACCATCTCGCGCCTTGCGAACACAAACATCTTCCATTTCTACCACATCTCTATCCTCCTCTCGTAGGATATGCTCTTCAGCACAAGCATCACATAGCGCCACTTCATGCGCGTTCCGACCAGCACCTCGGAAACATATCATATCACCACCCCGACGGACGTTTGCTTCGTCTACTATCCAACGCCATGGAGACATCACCCCTCCGAAACCTGGGGAAGAGCGCAAAGTGACGTTCGTTGACAAAGAAGGGCGGGACTGGACATTTGAGGTGGCAGATGGGGACAATTTGCTAGACATTGCTCAGGCCAATGATCTAGAAATGGAGGGTGCTTGTGGAGGGAGTTGTGCGTGCAGCACGTGTCATGTCATTGTGGCTGATGATGCCATGTACGATAAGATGGTACGTGTAGATGATGATTCCGTACTGCGAGCGGGCAAGCCGTCACAAAAGATGAGGAAAAGTGGCTGACGATATTCACAGGAAGAACCTTCAGACGACGAAAACGACATGCTGGATCTCGCTTTTGGTCTGACAGAAACGAGTAGACTGGGTTGTCAAGTTGTAATGTCCAAGGAGCTCGATGGGCTGGTCGTCAAGTTACCTTCCATGACGAGAAATCTGCAAGCCTCGGACTTTGCGGAGAAGAAGTAGTAGTAAGAAGGTAGTAGAGAACTGGCATGTACTAATCACGAACATTCATGTATAGATGCAAAGCGCGAAAAAGTATAGCGTGGATTGCAAGTCAGAAGAAGTTGTACTGTACAGTGCGACAATACCAACGACTGTACGGCCGAGCGCGGCGGCAATGAGGTTGACGAGTCCATTTCACTCCACTCCAAGCACGACTCTCAGCAACAAAATATTCGTCAACAACTCGCTTTTCAAACATAAATTCAGCTCCAGCTTGAGACTGTTTCGTCCTACAAAGGTCAATTCTGATATTGCCTGTCAATGTAAGTAGGTATCTACGAAAGTCGAGGGTAATACTCATTTTCAACTTCACGGCAACATTGCATCAACTTTGCTGCTTTCGAGAAAAGCTTAATTTGCACATTGGACAACAGCATGGGAGACAAGAGACTCAAGCATCGCACAAAGTTAGCCACTGCATCTCATCTCATCTCATCTCACTTCATTTCACATCTCTCGAAATCGCTTGAAAAAAAAGAAGACTATGCAGCCCGCAGTCGAGAAGATCTAGCAGCGGCAAAGTACCAGACTTTCCCCCAACCCCTAACTAACTGGTTCAAAAATCTCTCTCTCTCTCTCTCTCAAGGCAACTCAGGAAATCTCCTCTGCGCGTGATGATGCTGCAACTCTTGCGGCTCTGCATATCCTGGGACTTCGAATCGAGAATCACCTGCCTGGAGCTCATTGCTGACAGGTTCATCCCTCGAATGGACATGTGGCGACACCGATGGCGAAACTGCAGTGCTGACTGGTGATTTGGGGTCATTCATGTGATTTTCGAGTGCTCCTCCCCCTCCTCCTACTTCACCACCACCACCTTTTGAGGTCGTAGTAGTATCGACTTTGCGCTCCTTTCTCTTGTTGCGCAGAACAATCCAGGTGATCAATGCTGCGATGAGGCCAAGCGCAGCTACACCACCTACGACGCCTCCGGCTATTGCACCAACGTTGGTGGATGAGCCTCCTGAGGTGTCGTTTGTGGTGATTTGAGAGTTGCTCACGGCCCCACTGTTGCTATTCGAAGAGGTCCCGGCTGCGACTTCTTCGTCGTCGTCGTTGTTGTTGGCCGATGCGTTCCCCGTTTCTGTAGCTATAGCAGAAGTATCGGTATTCGTAAATGTCGGTATTGGAGAACCGGATTGCGTTGAAGCTACAATATCGCTGAAGCCTTGTCCGTATAAGGTGTAGGTCGTGTAAATAAACGAGAACTGTCCCTGCGCAGTGGTGCAGCCTACATTGAGAAGTGTCTGCCCTGCCGTTGGCCAGTAATTGGTGTAGCAGTAGGGCGAGGCAGAATCGGTGCTTGGAAGGAATCAGTTCTCCAGAATTCGAAAATGAGAACTTTGCGCTGGGTACTGACCATTTCGTAATGCGAGCATTTGCGCTACACGCAGCATTGCAAGATTGCGAGAGGCTGGCTTGTGGAACACAGCTGGTGGGGAGCTGACAGTTTGCGCCATCTCCTAGACGACAACAACCTCCTGCTGCGCGGAAGGTTGGTTCGGCAAAGCAAGTGAAGCCGTTCTGGCAGTATTGAGCTTGCACTGTCGAGTAATCAGCTGCATGATACATACTCTACCACGGAAATAGCTCGGCGCATGCTCCCAGCTGAGAGAATTTTTTGCTGAGACTGTGACAGTGCCCTTCTTTCACTCCTCGAAACACCCAGCTACCACATCTCCAGGACATGGTTGCGCGGTGTTGGAACGATCTTCGAATAGCAGGTTCGACCTCTGACTCAACACAGCGAGCACTGGCAATACGTACGGATATCAGCGTTCACATATCCACATGTTGGGCCAGGGTCATCGACCTGACGAGGAAGAAGTCCTCTTGCAACAGGCGCTGGAGTGATCAATGGCGCCTGGGAGCTCTCAACAGTAGCACCGCTAAACAATGCTAGAAGCAGAACTGTACGCAGTCGTGCAAGTGACATGGTGACCTGACTGCGGGTGTTGTACAGATACAACAACATCTTAGATGGCCATGTCAGGTTCATAAGAGCTGAGGTCGGCTACTCCAATACGAGGCTGTGTTTGCCTGATCACGCGGTTTATTGGGAGCTGCATACCGCTCGCCTCTTGTGCCCGATTTGGGATGAAGCTAAACTTCTCATGGTTGCCAAGTCCTATGCGCAGCGGATGAGGCGTCCGAGACTGAGAGAGCGCCCCGCAAGCGAGAGATATTCAATACCACCAGAGGCTTGCTGGACGTCTCTTCACCGGTGGAAAAGAAGCTGGACTTCAGTAGGTAGGCCTTGCGATCTTGCCTTCCAAGGCTCTAGAAGTTGAAGATTGCCGTCGTACACTGTTTTTGTTCCTGGGCGCTCGGGGTTTGCGTTGGCTGCAAAGAATCCTTTGACCAGGCTCTCTGCTGTTGACATCACTCGCACCAGTTTCACATGCCTGCGAGCGCAGTCGCCAGCGCTTGCCGGAAGCTGTGGCATTGTTCGAGACCAACGTGAGCGGCACCGAGCGCTGCGCCATGTTCTGGAGATAGTTCTCGTGGTGCTTGTACGGTATGAACGTTGTACCGTTCACATTTTGTAAGCGGGAAACCAAGTACTGTGAAAGGGAGAGAGAGAGAGAGAAAGCAGATCACGTCCAAGGACGTTGTGGAGTTCGACAATCGGATGGGCGGAAACAAGTGCCGACGGGCCGCTTCGCAGTGATACTCCCTCCCGTCGTTCTACCTGCTATCTGCTAGCTCTTCTATTCACGAATGTTGAGCACGACACTGACGGCAGGCTTCAAGAACTAGAGAAGGAGTCTTCAGTAGACATTCCCCTCTCAGACACGAGGGAAGGAAAGTGAGGGGGGCGAATGGTGCTCTGATTACCAAAATGGACGGCTTCGATCACATGGGAAAGGGGTGCGATTGAGCTCTCGACCGTGAAAATGTGAGATGCCGATCACCAAGCTCCTGCCCTGTGAGGAATCATCGACTCCGCTATGATCGCCTGAGCATGAGGGTGGGCAAAAGGAGACGCAGACGAGGAGTTTCTTGCCCTCAGCTGAAGGGAATATAGTGATCGTTCCCACTGAATCTCTGGTGTATCATCATTTGGGACGTGTCTGCTTCTGTGAGCAAGCAGCAGCGTCACGGTATTGTACATACTCGTCAACCTCGTTCGAACGTCACCTCCTCTTCGCCAGTTCTCTATTCAGGAGGAACATCTCCAGCCGGTCGTGAGGCTAGAACCTGCTCAGGTCCTTGTGCGCTCGCGGCATCACCACCCGTAGCGCCTCCACGACCGCCTCGTCTCCCTGCGTTTGCCTCAGCGGCAGCATCCTTGTCGCTGTTAATCTTCTCCACAATCTTCTCAATATCTTCTGAAGGCAGCATCTCCACCGTCTTGCCCGGTGCCATGATGGCAATCTCAATGTTCTTTGCTCCCGTCTGTACGACTTCCAGCAGGGATTTGATGGTCAGCTCGATGGTCTCAGCTCGTGTCATGTTGTCCTTGTGATTGCGCTCGAGGAACTCGCGGACAGTCTTTGAGGAGCGACCGATGGCGTTTGCTTTCCTACACATGCAATCAGTATCTCCATTCCTTGATCGGTCCGGAACTGTTTAGGCTTACCACGCGCTGTAAATTCCAGAAGGCTCTGTTTGGTACAGTCTTGCATCCTTGCTGCCCGGGTCGAAGCCCACAATGAGTGTGCTGATACCGAACGGCCTCACACCTCCGGATTGTGTGTATCGCTGCTGCACACCCGCCACATATTTCGTAATGTACTCAATGGTGACGGGGTCCTCGACTGTCAGACGATGTGACTGTGCCTCCAACCGCGCCTTGTCGACCAGAATTCGGGCGTCTGCGTTCAGTCCCGCAAAGGCTAAGCAGACGTGGCTATCGACCATGGAGATTTTGGAAGGCGTGATACGGGTGTCTTGCAGTTTGAGGGCCGACTTCTTCTCGCAGCCCATGACGACGACCTGATCATCTTTGGCAGTGCCCTTGACAGCAACGGCGCAGGTTCCTCGCTTGACGGCCTCGAGGGCGTATTCCACCTGGAAGACGTGCCCATCGGGGGAGAAGACCGACAGCGCACGGTCGTAGCCGGATGCCATGTTGGGTGGTGGTCAATGATATGTTGTGGCGTGGTAGTAGTTCAGGTAGACGGAGACGAGCGTGGTGGTGCGAGTGTTGACGGTGGTGGATGGTTCAATGTGTGTGTATTATCAAGATGATGTTTGTGCTGCTGTAGAGCAGAGTAGGTAAGGTAGTCTAGTGGTGAGCTCCAGGCGACTGCCCAAACGCGTCCCAGTCGAGCTCTCTCGTCTCTCGGCAACTTCCCGAAAGCTTCCATCACTGGCCATCCCATCAAAACGTACCTACAGTACCTGTACCTACGGATGTAGTGGAGGCGACATCGGACATCTGCTTCTTGTCCAGTCCTCTTCTCCCCTCTTCTCTTCTCTTTCCTCTCACCACACTCTCTTCCTCCCGCAACATGGGGCCCGTCAATCGATGTCTGCCCGCTCTTAGGCGCATCCGAGTCGCCAACAGAGCTTTCCAGCAGCCTGCACATCTCCGCTCCGCATATCAGGCCTCGTCCATTCGATGTTATGCCCAGGCCACGACGACCGCTTCCAATGCCGAGCACGACCCTCCCGAGTCACGATCTGGCGTCAGCAGCACCAAGGAGATCAAGTACACCACCGACTCGTACCCACAGATCAAACGAGATTCCCGCTTCAAGGAGATCAATGCAGATGATGTCAAGTTCTTCAAGGAGGTGCTAGGCGCGGATAATGCTCTCATCGATGGAGTCACTCAGGACGCCACGAGTGATCTGGAAGGCTACAATGCAGACTGGATGAGAAAGTACAGAGGCAAGACGAAGCTCGTGGTCAAGCCAGGATCCACGGAAGAAGTCAGCAAGATCCTCAAGTACTGCAACGACAACTTGATAGCTGTGAATCCTCAAGGCGGCAACACTGGACTGGTGGGAGGCTCGGTCCCCGTGTTCGACGAGATCATCATTAACTTGGCTCGAATGAACAGGATTCGCGAGTTCGATGAGGTGTCTGGCATTCTTGTTGCCGATGCTGGTGTTGTGCTGGAAGCTGCAGACAACCACCTTGCTGAGCATGGGCATATTTTTCCTCTAGATCTTGGTGCCAAAGGAACCTGCCAACTAGGGGGCAATATTGCAACAAATGCAGGAGGTCTCCGTTTGCTGCGGTATGGTAGCTTGCACGGCAATGTACTTGGTCTGGAAGCCGTCTTGCCAGATGGCACAATCGTCGACGATCTCGGAAAGTTGCGAAAGAACAACACTGGGTACGATCTGAAGCAATTGTTCATTGGAGGCGAAGGCACCATCGGCATTGTCACAGCTGTTTCGATCATAACGCCACAGCGCTCGCCTGCTGTCAATGTTGCCTATTTCGGCCTGGAGTCATACGAGAAAGTGCAGCAGGCTTACAAGGAGGCCAAGGGCTATCTTCAAGAAATTCTCTCTGCTTTCGAGCTCATGGACGCTAACTCACAGAAAATATACACTCGCGCTACTGGTAACAAGCTCCCGCTGGACGGCGAGTACCCATTCTACTGCCTGATCGAGACGTCAGGATCCAATGCCGAGCACGATCGCGAAAAGGTCGAGGCTTTCCTCGAACATGTCATGGGTGAGGAGATTGTCGCAGACGGCATCCTCGCAGAGAACGAGACACAGTCGCAGAACCTCTGGGCATGTCGAGAAGGTGTCAGCGAAGCCTCTCAACATTTTGGTGGTGTATACAAGTACGATCTGTCCATACCTCTACCACAGCTGTACGATCTTGTCTCCGAGGCAAGGCAGAAGTTTCTGGACAGTGGCCTGATGGATCCCGAAGATGACAGCAAGCCTGTGCTGGACGTCATTGGATATGGGCACATGGGAGATTCGAATTTGCATCTGAACGTATGTACGAGGAGGTATGACAAAGAGGTGGAGAAAGTGTTGGAACCATGGGTATTTGAGTGGATTCAGCAGAGAGAAGGCAGTATCTCTGCTGAGCATGGGTTGGGTTTGGCGAAAAAGGAAGCCATTGGCTACAGCAGGAGCGAGACCATGATCAAGCTGATGAAGCAGATTAAAAATCTTTATGACCCGGTAGGTCTTGTCTGCATTTTGGGGAAGTGGAGTGACGAGCTGACTCGGTCTACAGAACGGCATTATGAACCCATACAAGTACATTTAGAAAAGAATCTAGAGCTTACACAGAGGGCACTTGGTTTTCGTGCCTTCCTCTTCCTCTTCCTCTTCTTCTGCTGCTGCTGGTGGATACCAACCACAGGGGCTGTGGAAAAGGTAAAAGACAGCCCCTGTTCTCTGTCTATAATGTATCTGTCGCTAATTCTGGAATGAAAACTTTTACAGCGAGAGGTGCATGTACTCACTGTTGAGCACATGTTATCCAACTCTCAAGATTCTTGAAACATGTGTGTGGGAATGTTGTAGTCGGCATAGTCCATGTGCACGAATGCTCGATCAACTGCACGAACTTACAGTCAGCAAACAAACGCAATGTACAACATCACATTCTCACACTGTCAAAAGTAGAAGACTTACCACTGGGTACACTCTCCAGCACATACTGCAGAGACTCTCCCAGATCATGAGAATCTCGGAGGGAAATCTCCTCATCCAGCACGATATCCACTTCCACGTTCAGCTTGTCGCCAGAGTGATATGCCTGCAAACCCTGAATCTTCTGGATGGTCTTTGCAAATCTCATGGTCAAGTACAGCAGGATGTTTCTTTCATCAGCACTTGCAGAAGCGCCGGTCAAGTTGCGAATGTGCTCATTGGCAGTCCGGCTCCAATTGATGATGACGTATAGCGAGAGAGCAATACCGCCCACCGGATCGAGCCACCAGATGTTGGCATAGTATCCTACCAGTGGGAAAATGATGGAGAAGGTGTTGAAGACCACATCCGTTTTCGCATCTTGCGCCAAGGCTTGGACAGAGCTATTCTTGATGACACGACACCAGGCCCAGCAGCCGCCTTTGATGGCAACAGTGGCCGCCATGATGGCAATGGCAGAGTTGGAGAGCTGGACAGGCTCGTGGTCACCATTGGTCAAACTGGATAAAGCCTCCCACATGACCTGAATAAAGGCCGTGATCATGATGACAGAGAAGACCAAGACTCCAACAGGCTCCAGACGTCGGCGACCGATGGGGTATGCGTACTGATCAGTCCGGGAGATGAGGCGCGTCGTGATTCCTACAATGGCAGTGGATAGGAAGTCCAGGGCTGCGTCGACCAACGAAGCCAGGACGGAGACGGAGGAGGAGAGAACCACGACGATGACCTTCATGACGAGGAGGGCGGTGTTGGCGATGAGGTTGACGATGATGGCGACGGTGACAATGCTTGACTGCGAAGAATGATCTTCATCCAATTCCAAATCCGGGGGCATTTCCTGGGCTTCGAGATCGCTGTCACTGGACAGAAGAGGTTCCGTCTCTCCCTCGCTGTGGTTCTGACTGGGAGACCGATTGGAAACTGCACTATTGTTGGGTTTCTTCACATTGTACAAGTCTTTCGTTCTGTTGATTTTCTGTGGTGGCCTGAGACTGTCGGGCACGGCATCATCATCAGCGAAAAGGCTGTCTTGCGAGCCGGCGCGCTCGTGGTAGATGTGCGAGGGGAGCCCATTCTCTTCGTCCACACTCTCGTCAATGGTCTCTGGCAGATCTTTCTGCCATGATCCCTGCTTGATGGCAGAGCGGACGTGGGGCGAGTGGTATTCCTGAATGAGGTCGTGCGGAAGACTGCTATCCAGCAAGCGATCGATATACAGGTAATGCTGAATCAGATAGTTGTTGCGCTCGTAGTACTTCCGCGTCGCTTTGGACTTGATCTGCTTGAGCTGCTCATCCGTCTTCCAGTACTGCTCCCATTGATAACGGGGGTTGGTCGACCCGATCAAGCGCTGACTGCGCACCTGAGGCGTGTTGAGGATGCTCGCGGCATAGCTCATGCGCCGATCCTCGTTGTCGCCGCCGCCCCAGCCCGCTGCAGACGAATGGCCAATCTCTAAGCCATCCAGGCTGCCCTCGCTGTCTTTCCGCTGCCGCATGGTAGCGAGTTCAGCAGCCGATATGGAGTTGTTCCGGGCGATCCATGGGCCTTTGCGCAGTGCATTCACATTCACGCTGGACCGCGACTGGATGAGCGAAGGCAGATGCGAGCCACGAGTCGAATAGGGCGACGCACCGCCGTCGGCGGAGGTGTGCAGAGCATCGGAGTGGTTGATCAGCGGGAGGAAGTTGCGGTGCTGAGCAGGGGAGCGGTTGTCGGCGTTGAGAGACTGCGTGCGTGCCAGCCGATGGTCCTCGCCGGGCAGGGAGACATGGGCGCACATGACAGTGACCGTGACAGGACGGGAGGATGTGCGGGATCTATTGTTGAGTGAGTGACATTTTTGGGTACAGTGAGTGCAACTGAAGAAGGGAGGATTGTCGAGGTGGTGGTAGTGTAAGGAACGGAATTGCGTAGCTGAATGCTCGACAGTCAAAGGTCAGGTACTCGTGTTGTGAAGACTACCGCCAAGGCGAGTACGTACATGTACAGGTAGGAGGTACAGCTTCAACAATTGAAGCTGCCCGCCGAGGGCACGTGTGTGGAGCTTGAACGCAGATCCCAGACCACGGCCCGAGCCCTCCGATCGGGCGATCGGCAGCATGGGTCTAGCCGAGATTCCCTATAATGGTATTGTGGGGCATCTCCGCGGTCTTCCGTCTCTCGCTTTCACTTCCGCGGATATGAACCTGAGACTACCTCCTATCAAGGAAGCACCTCATATCACAAATCACTTATCTCCAGGCTTGAGTCGATTGGAGGTCATTAGGCTACTGAGATGTAGGTATCAAGAATGGGAAAAAGAAAAGAGAAGAAAGGTTTCGTCAGGCGCAGATGAATTCTTTGTATTAACATATGTATATCGTTGCGTTTGCAACCCCAAACAGTTGGAGTCACACTGGGATCAATTAGCCGCCACTACATCAAGACTAGAACATACCTTCCGAGACTTGGGATTGTGAAGACGAGGGGGAGGAGTGTAGAGGAGGAAATCACTTACGAAGCATGGTGCCCTTTGGGGGCCCGGAACGCCCATTCTGCTGGACCAGGAAGCTGTCGGGCACTGATCAAACGATCGCGAGCGTCTCGCATCTTATTGATCTCGCCCATCACTCCGTGCTCTCCGTCGAAAGATGCCACTGCGCGATCCGCAGGATCCACAGCAAGCATTTTCTGGAGGAGCTCCAGAAGACCAGACGTCCCGTACTCCTCGGGTATGCGCAACGTGCTGGGGTCGGTACCAATCTTTATTGGGTTTCGCTCCCCGCACGCGAACATATGGACCATGAGTCCAAAGGCGTAAATGTCCGACGCGATGGTCCGGCGATTGATCATCTCCTGCCACAGGCGACTGCTTACGGCACGTGGCTTGAGATCTCCGTAAATGGCGGCGTCCTCTGGAGCGTGGTAGCAATCGGTTCCAGGTAGAATCCGGCCGTCTCTGGATCCCGCGAGCCTCGCAGCTCCAAAATCCGCAAGCTTCAACTGAGGGAGAGGTTGGAACGTCCACGTCAGCAGGAAGTTCTCCTCTTTCAGGTCGCCGTGGATGATGGCCCCGTGGTAGTCGTCCCTAGTGAAAGTTCCCTTTCCCGCATACCGAAGTCCATGGTGAATAAAGGCCAAGGCCTCCATTCCCTGCACGAGCACCTGAAGGAGGAACACTTCTGGCATTCCCATCTTGAGTCTCGAGATCCAGTATCTATACTGATCGAAGAGGGATCCAGCGTTGCAGTGTTCCATGTAGATGCGATGTCTACCTTCATTGCCCGGCTTCCCATCTGGAATTGACTCGTATACTGCAACAATGCGTTCGTGCGCATGGAGCTGCTGGAGCAGGATCTTCGCCTCGTACGGCATGTCGGTTGGGGTGGGCCATGGCATCACCTTGGTATGCTTGATCACGAAAGTCTCGGGCTTGTTGATGTTGAGGACGACGTATAGCTCGCCCTCGCTTCCTTGGATCATCCGCTCGTCACGGAAGACGTGGTGCTTGAAGTAGTTGTGCTGATACACATCTCTTGCTTCGCGGATGACGGCCATTGGGGTGGCGCCGATTACTGGATTAGAGGGGGAGCGGGCGAAGGCCGCTGTGAGGCGGCGAAAGAAACCTGGTGCAGACGGGGCGGCTTGTCGTACAGTTGTACTTCGCCGACGGGTCTTTTGCACAGTCAGGGGTTGTCGGGGGTCCCGGGTTGGGACAGCAGTTCTTGGTCGGGCTTGCCTCGTAGAGGAAGCGGCCGTGGGGGCAGGACCTTGGACGGTCACTGGCGAATATGGGCTCGAATTGGTGAAAGCTGTGGCATTCTTTCCAGTTCCACGTTCGCACGAAACAATCTTCTTGCTCTCAGGGGTGGACATTTTCGATCAACGAAAATGTACTGAAGTTTAAGAGTTGAGGAAGCTGAGTGTTCTGTAAGTTGTCTGAATTTAAACTTGAGTGTGTTTGATGAACAACAGCATCTCCCAGCATTCGACCTGGCTTATATACATTTCTTCTGCTTGAGAGGCGGACAATGCACTTGTCTACGACGCCCAAGAAGACAAAGGAAGGATGCATCTTTGTGTATAGTGTTTGGTGAAAGAGGTATATGCGAGAAAGAAACAAAGAGTGAATGGTATTGGGAGGTAAGTCAAAGAAAAGTGTGAAGAGAATGGAATGGAAGAGATGGAAGTTGAAATCGAAAGAAATACTGCCAGACTAGGGGGCTCTGTCTGAGACACGCCGTGAGAGATTTGAGACAGATGCGCTCTTTGATGCGGATGGTCGCTGTGAGAGAATAGTCAGCTGTTCCCAGCGAACAACTGATAATTTACCCACCGTAAGAGAAGCTTGGAGAGCGTGTCTACGGAGAGTTTGCACGGATGATCAACCATCGGTCCTGGGCTAAGACTCTCTCGCAAGCAACGCTCCTATCCACAACAGCTGGAGGATTTGAGTGTCATCGCTACAAACCGTCTTCGCTCGTCGTGGGCTGCATATCCCGTGAAAGGGAGGGCAACGCTCCTACTTCCAGAACGCAATATCTCCATCTCGAAACACAGGTGATCAATCTACTGATTCCAACACCTCATATCGCATAGTCAACACCTACATGAGGGAAGAGAAGAGAAGCCAGCATCGATCCCATACCATAAGCACTACCAGCCAGCCAGCCAACCTACCATGTAAGACAAGGTCCCAATCGACACATACAAAGGGAAATAGACCTTTCAACGCTTGATACACATCGCCCATTCACTTTGTTCTCTTCCATTCTTCTTGTCCATAAACAAAGAGTTTGAACAAAAGCCCCGTCTATAGACAAAGACCAGTAACTAACTGCACTGAACAAGGGGTTTGTCCAACGCACCCGTATATATTCCTCGAGGAGCCCCAGTTCATTGAGATGTTCTTCTTTTCTCCCCAGTGTGTCTCTCATTCATTGAGAAAGCATCATTATCACTCACTCACTGCTTTGAATCATTCATTCATTCATCCAGCATCGGAAAACAAGAGATTGATACACGCCGGCCGTGTCACACAGTCCAACGTCCTCTCCAATGTCCGGAAATTCTCAGCACACAGCAGCGCGTGAAATGATGCTTCTCTTTCTCGTCCTATACGTCCTCGTCGCAACTGCCATTGTCCTCGTAATTCGAGAATGCTGGCAGTCTCGAAGCCGGAGACAGCAGCAACGGGCCTCGGATTCGACACCACTCCTTAGACGCAAAAGGACAAGAAGACCAAGTATGCAACAACGACGACAACGACGACCGTGGAACCTTTTCTGGTGGCGCAGGATCGGACAACAAGACCTCGAACATCAGCAATCTCGTCAACTTTCCATCACTCGTCCTGCTAGTAATGATGAGGGATATGGCTTTGGCTATGGCGCTACTACCGACGACAACCTCTTTGCCGGATTCGACGGAGTCCAACGAGCAGCGATGTATGCCACTTCCATCCGGGAAAGTCTTAACGCACCACAGGTGACGACGACGACGAGCCTCAGCTTCTCGCTCAGCGCTGGAACTTCTTGTTTTTCCTCTTTGTATGCGTCCTCCTCCTCCTCCTCCATGTTGACTTCACTCACCATGATGGCCCCCTCATCATCCCTGCCGCCGCCGCCACCACCACCGCCACCGCAGATTCTCACGCACAGTTTCTCACACACATACTTGCACATTCGCACTCTGACGTACTGCTCTGAAGGCCCCGTGCATCTCGTGCAACATCGCGAGACGGGCGAGAAATTTGTCATTAAACAGGTCCCGGCATCTTCCAGAAGCAGTAGAAAAAAATTACGTATCCCACACGAAGCCGCCATTTTGCAAAAAATCCAACATCATCCCAATATTATCGAAATTGCCGCTACACTCGATGGTTACACGCACAACAACAAGAACAACAACACCACCACCAAGCACAACATCCGCCGACGCACCCACGACATCGTAACCCCCTTTGCCGAACTCGGAGATCTTCACAACCTAATATCGCATTTTTGCGGAACCAAAAAGCGTCAAGAGTCCATCCCCCGCGAATTTATTCTACACTTTGTCTCCAGCATGATTGACGCTCTCGCCTTTTTGCACGAAGGTGCCATTGCGCACGACTCGCGCTCCGATACGGTCGTGAGCGTCAGTCATCGACAGCCTGTCATTCTGCATCGAGATATCAAGCCGTTGAATATTTTCTTGACTGCTGCTGCTGCGGACGCTGCGGACGCTGATGCTGACACGACAATGCCCGGGTTGCCGCAGATTAAACTGGCCGACTTTGGTCTCGCGTGCACACCTGCGACGAATAATGGCGTGGTGGGGACACCGGGGTTCAAAGCACCGGAGATTGTGAAGATTGATGAGTTGTACGCTGCTCGAGTGCCATATTATCTGGATAATTACGGTCAGTTGCCGGACGTGTGTTCGAAAGCGGGAGATTTTTATGCATTTGGAGTTTCGCTGTTTGCTCTAATTTTCTTAGACGACTACGATGCCAAGAGGGACCACGACATTGATGCCGATATTCTGACTACTAATCTGGGGAATGATGTCGAGATACGCAATCTCTTGAAAGCGTGTCTCGCGTATGATCCGGAGAAACGCCCGGTTGCCGGCAGCTTGCACTCCCTGTCTACTAAGATCAAGGCCGAGCTAAGGGAGTGGTATGCCAACGGCGGTCGACTGCCTGACGACATGTGGCCAGATCCAATGTATAGCGATACAGAGTGGGCGAAGCGTAAAGTAGCGGCAAAAGCAGCAGCGTGCGCCTGTGTTGATGCTGATACAGAACTCGTCCCCTCTGCCAGCCCAACGCAGATCATCAGCCAAGCCCATAGCAGCCGACAACTCTGTCGCTTTCCTGGAACTGGAGAAGTTCGTGGCGTGGCTGCTGTGTCGGACTTTGACCTCGATGCCTATCTGTGTCGAAGTACAATGTCCCCCCGATCGTCGCGCGATTCCTGATTGTTGCGCAATGGATCGAGAGCGAGCCATGCGGGTATACCAGTAGATTATTGCAAGACCCCGTCGCCCCTTTTTGCATATGTTAGCGGTAAGTACGGAGCTATAAACTGTAGAACAGACTTATATGTAGAATAAGGTGAGTTTTGGAATTAAAGTCTTACCTGCTGGCGGGTACCATAATTCTGTATTCCCATCACCTTTCACTTGTCTAAAGACCAGCAGATTTCACGTTGCGACCTTGTCACCGTGATATAGAAGCTTGCTCGATCCGCTGAGTCTAGTGTTCGTCTCCCGTATCTTGTAGTAAGCTGCGGTGCCGTAAGCTGCGGTGCCGTGTGTTGTTTTTGATGAGTAAGTAGTAAGAGTGCCAGAAGACGAGGAAAATCCCATCATCCATCACGTTCTCCTCAGAACGTCCAAGACCCAATCCTTGCCAGCGTGACCTTCGCGCAGTCCATATCGAAAAATCAACGGGAACACATGAATCTGCTTGTCCCAGTCCAGCCACTCGCCCTGAATGCGAGCTTGGTTGCATTTCTCTCGAAATAAAATGGCATCCGGACTCAGAATATCATACCTTCCCACCACGCCATGCACTTTGACGCCTCGTTTCCGTATACATTGCAAATCCGCGTAGAGAGGACTCACTCGGACGTCCTGGGGACTCCACTCCCCACACCACTTCTTCGCCGTGTCAATCACAAACGGCACCCGCAGGATCGGATCCTTCTTCGCAATACTATGCATATCCGCATTCGAGCGGGTCAAATCCGTCGAAGGGGAAATCGCCATGACACTGGTACACGTCGGCCTCTCGATCCCATCGCGTTCATCCTCCATCAATGCCTGAATTAACACTGCCAGAACGATATTTCCGCCCGCAGAATCCCCCGCTAGAACCACTTCTTCGTCTTCCTCCTCTGCTAATTCCATCAGAGCGCGATACTGCCGCATGATGGCGGGAAACGATGTCGGAGCGGCACTATTCGGGGCCAAGGGATATGAAACCAGCGTGACGGTATAACCGTGAGGGTGTAATTGCTTCGCCAACTCCGACACAAAGAACCAATGTTCGCTATTGGCAGGCGATTGCCATCCTCCACCAGAGTAATAGTACACCCGTCTCTTCTTCTTCTTCTCCTCCTCCTCCTTGATTCCACCAGCAGCAGCAGCAGCAGGTTCAGTGGTCGTCTCACCAGGCATCCGCTTCTGCGCGACCCCCAACTTCGACTTCTTCCCCACCGTCGGCACAATATCATACAAATAAATCTCTTCGACTTTTCTCTCTTGCACCCGACAACGTTTCGTCGCGCGTTTGTGCGGGGTGAGTTGGGGAGAGCCGGCGGGGAAGACGGTATCGTTGGAGACTAATTGCGCGGCAAAGGGTTTGATGAGCAATTGCAGGAGCATCATCAGGGTGCTGCGGTCGTGGCGTTTGGTGACGTGTATGGTGGGTTGGGAGGAATGGATGTCGCTGTTGATGTTGATGTAGGGCTCGGTTTGCGCGTCAAAGGCCATGTTGGCGGGCGTAGAAGCGGGATTGACAGCCATGTTGGGAGATGGCTGGAGTGGGATGATGATGATATGCTGCTGTATGCATGTATGTAGTGGTAGTAGGAGTAGTCGTGGTGGTGGTGGTGGTGGTGGTGGTGGTGGTGGTGGTGGTGGTGGTGGTGGTGCTACTGTACTCGTGTACTAGCGCTATCATGGCTCTTGGTATGTCTGTTGGTGGTGGCGTACACGAATGTTTCCTTCTTCCTCTCCCTTGCATCTGCTGAGACGACATGATGATGATGATGATGAGCTCTGATGATCACTTGGTGGAGATGAGTCCGAGAGATCTGAGAATGCCGCAGTTCTTCCGTTCGGCATCTTCGAACTTACCTACTTCAAGTGAATAACAACGACAACATCTGTCCGCAACATGAATCCATGGTTGACATCTTCATTCTTCCCGCTCTTCCTCTCCATCCACTGGCAGCGAGGCTATTACCCTTGTCTATATGCTCGACTCAACAGCCGACAGTGAACCAGACATTTCTTCATCTTGGCAGAAACTATATCACCAGCGCCACGGTAGAGCAAGAAAAGCTTCCCTCAACCTTCACGCCTTTACCCACACCACGTAATTTCGAGTCCGCACTTTCTTTTCTATAAATCAGACATCCCTCCCTTCCTACTGGGACCATCATCAACCTCAGCCTCCGCACCAACATCGAGGCAACCCGCGAGCAACAAGAGAAACGACTGGTGGCCATCAGGTTGAAGTCTCGCCATCTGCCGGTGATTCGGTGTCGAAGGGAGATTCTCAACCGGCTACCTGCCATGCAACGTCTTTCAGCTCGATGTGGTATGCGACACAACCGCCGAGAGCTGGTTGCGCGTATACGGCATCGCTGCTTGTTGACCTGCAGCGGATGACTGTCGACAGGGAATGTCGTGATGTGTCATCTCGTGTTGCTTTGGTGGTTGCATGCTGTGTAAGAGACTCTGGACAGGGTAGGTTCAAACTGACCTCCTGCGCAAGAACATGAACCCAAGCAACTCCTCTCGTAACAATGAGTGCCTTCAACTCCCGAAGGCTCAGAAATAGTGATAGTTGAAGGAATGTGCAAGGGAACCCCCCTTTCAGATTTCTCGGATTTGGTCAACGGAAGCTGGTTGTGCGTATAGCGGCATCTAGGCTTGTTGGCCTGCAGCAGACGACTGTCGACAGGGAATGTCGTGATGTGTCGTCTCGTGTCGCTTTGATCGTTGCATGCTACAGAAGAGACTCCTGAAAACTGGGCAGGGGTGAGCCGCTATGCAAACTGACCTCCTGCGCAAGAACCCAAGCAACTCCTATCGTAACAATGAGTGTCGTCAACGACCGAAGGCTCAGAAAGAATATGGTTGAAGGAATGTGCAAGGGACCCTGCCTTTCAGATCTCTCGGATTTGATCAACGGAAGCTGGTTGTGCGTATGCGGCATCTACGCTTGTTGGCCTGCAGCAGACGACTGTCGACAGGGAATGTCGTGATGTGTCGTCTCGTGTCGCTTTGGTCGTTGCATGCTACAGAAGAGACTCTGGAAAACTGTGCAGGGGTCAGCAGCTATGCAAACTGACCTCCTGCGCAGGAACCCAAGCAACTCCTATCGTAACAATAAGTGTCGTCAACGCCCGAAGGCTCAGAAATAATGGTAGTTTAAGGAATGTGCAAGGGAACCTGCCTTCCAGATCTCTCGGATTGGACCAACAGAACCAGGTGGCGCAATGGCGGCAGTATAGACGTGGACGGCCTTCGACTGGAGCAAGTTGTTATGTGTCGTTCGCGCGAGACTGGTGCCTGTTGGGCATGCACCTATTGGCACAATCGTTGGAACTCTCTGGAGATTCGCGCCACATCGGTGGCAAAGCGGACTCCTGACCGCATGATGAGAATACGCAGAATCTGTCAGCATCGGGAAACTGAGGCTGGTCATCATGATTCGTTCGCGAAATATACCTCTGAGGTTAGGAGGAAGCTGTTTTATCCCGGCTGTGGAACCATCTGCACGAGTTCCAGATGTCGCATGGGCGAATGACTAGCTGTGGGAGAGGAGCATGAAGGCTGCAGAAGGCCGGAGAGACGAGGTGAACGAGGAGAGAGATAGAGAGAGAGAGAGCGTGTGTGTGCGTGAGAGAAGAGAAGAATGAAGAACAGCGAGCGGTCCTTTATACACGACATCTAAGGGCAGTATTGATCTCGAGCAGCTAAGACCCGTGCCAAAGGGAGTAGCCACTGACTGAGTGAGGCAGGAGATATGAACAGTTCGAAGCAAGACCATGAAAAACTTGCGATTCTGGCTGGTACGCCGCCCCAGGACTGGAAAGTCACCGCTGTAGACCACGCCTTTACCTACCTCCGTGAAGTCTTGGTCAAGGGCGAGAGAGATGTCAGGAGCATATGGCAGCATATCTCGTTGGCAGCATATCTCGTTGGCAGCATATCTCGTTGGCAGCATCTATACAACTGAATGTAGACTCGTTACGCGTTACCAAACAACACCAACTATACACTACTCGTGCAGGGCCCGAGGAAACCTGCAGGTGGTCGTTGCCAGCCTCTCAACGACGACACAGCAAGGACTACTTTACTTATCTGCTCGAATCTCCCTCGAAGAATTGAATAAGGAGGAACGCTGCTTTCAGAAGTCTAGTCGAACCTACCTACAGTATATATAGTCGGTTCCAAGAACAAATGCCTGGTGTCCTCATCATTTCTTGGATGCTCCAGACTACCTACATGTGTGTATGTTAGTCGCTGATATCCTTGGCAGGGATGAAAATGAAATGCGGTGCTGTTCGGTGATGTCTTTCCCCTTTGTCAGAGAGAAGCTGTATAGGGGACTTCAGCTCCAGACTGCCTCCGACGGAAGCTTACCAAATCTGATATACCTAGTTTATGCAGCTCTCTCGCCGGGAGATGGAAGCTGAGTGTAACATTTGTCCAGAGTAAGCGAGGAGGTATAGATCCCTAGATAGATCGTGGAATACTGCATTTCGACCTTGTTTTCCGTCGCCAATACATAAGACAACTTCCATCAAGACAACTCCACAGCCCCCTTCGGCACCCCCTTGACACTCCTCAACCTCCTTGCAAAAAATTGCATAATCGGCAACATCTCCTCCCGGTCCCGAGGCATCCCATCCCCCGCCCTCCTCCACCTCCTCACCTCCACAAACCCAAACACCCTCCGCAACTTCTCCTCCGTTCCCCTCGTCACCACCGATCCCCCATCCGCCGAGCCCGCACACACCAAGACGGGCGTCCTACACTTCGGATCCAACTCCGCCGGAGTTTCCGCCGCAAGACCCGCTCCAATACTAATCACACCTCCCAATTCCACCAGCAGCGGGTCTTTAGCCACATGTGCTCCATCGATAGCAACAGCGGTACTCAGCGCAGCCATTCCACCTTGACCAAACCCAAAAAGAAAAATCTCTCGAAGGCGGAATTGACATTTTGTAATGAGGACTTCGTGGATAATGAGGGAGATTAAAGAGGAAATTTGGCTGAATCCGCTATCCATGTCAATGCCTCCACCGTCGCTGTCGCTGCCATGGGGGGAAGTGGTGGAGAAGAGGATGTCGTCGCCGAAATGGAACCCGCCGAGGTCGAGGAGGGGTTGAGGACCGCGGAGGGAAATGCAGCAGGTTTCTGGGAGTTGCATTTGGGAGGCTAGCTGGGTGAAGGAGGCGTTGGTGTCTCCGAGGCCGTGGAGGAGGATGAGAATGTTGGTGGGGGCATCGCTGGATGGGGCTGGATATTTCGGGGGAAAAGGATGATGGGGGATCGGTGGTTAGCAGTTCTCGAGGGAGTTTTTTTTTTCTTTTTTGAGAATAGAGATGGAGGAAAGAGATGGAATGAATGCGTGGGTGGTCTTGCCGAGATGTGTGTGTCACCGCTACATGTAGTACTACTTACGAGGGACAATGTTAACGTGGACCTTGGGGGGAAAGTCGTCGGTGGTGGGAAGGCGGCCCATTTTCACGACTATGTCCTCTTACTATGGACGGTATAGGGAAGACGGAAGTGAAGAGTAGGAGGTAGTGTGACGAGGTGAAGGGGGAAAACAGGGAGAGTTGCTAGTCACGTGACAGCCACACCTCACCCGACGGCAAGTGAATCAAGCATTTCTTGGCACAAAGCTTGGTCTAGACAGAAAGCTTGTTTCTGGATGACGAAGTGCCCCCCCCCCCCGGTAAAGGTAGGAGGGAAAGCCGATCCAGAGCTGACATGACATTGGCCTCAGTTGCCAGTTTCACCAAATGTCTCTCCCCCTCCAACAGGTTGAGGCAAGGCATGGATGTGCTTGAGGCATTATTCACGTCACCCCCCGCACACGTCAGCTCCTCAGCCACAAAAACCCTTCTCTTCCGCGCAACTTCTTCTTCTTCTTCTTCTTCTCATCAACAGTCAATCAATCCTCCATCCACCAAACCATCACTCCTCACCACCAACTACCACACACATCACCAATCTCACCATGTTCGGATTCGGTACGCAATCACCACTCCCTCTCGAACAACCCCTCCACATCCATCCATTCATCCACTGACACACTCCCCCCAGGCGAAGCTCGTGACCAATACTCGCAGGTCGAGAACAACGACAACAAAGCCGAGCTCTCCCACGAAATCCTCGCCGGCGGAGCCAGTTTCATGGCGATGAAAATGTTCGAAGACCGCCAACGCAAAGAGGGTAAGAAACAACTTTCCCCCTCCCCCATTCATCGTCGCCAACAACAAACCAACTCACCTTCACCTTCTTTTTCCAAACAGGCAAGCCCGTCTCACACCAATTCGCCAAAGAGCTCCTCGCGGGTTTCGCAGGCGGCGAAGTCGATCGTCTCGCCGAGACCAAGGGAGCAGACTACATTGATCGGGAAAAGGCCAAGCACCAGGCTAAACGTCAGGCCGAGCAGTTGTATGACTCGCATTATGGTGGGAACGATCAGTATGATCCGAGTCAGCAGGGTCCTCCTCGTGATTTGCAGGAGCACTTTGGTGATAACAACTGGTAAATGTCCTTGTTGTATAGGGGAGATGATAAGACTAGAACAGAACAGGGGGGACTTCCTTGCTCTGTAGTGTGAGTGAGTTGAGACGGAGAGAAAAAAAGTAAAATTGTTGTTGTTGTCGGGCATACCAGTTGGTATATATTTGAGTGAGTCTCAGCATACATAGGCCGTGAGCTTGATGTTCATGGGTCGAATGAATATGATGGATGAGACGAATTACTTGTTCCTGTCCTGTTTCCTACGTGATGAAACGCTCTTGAAATACTGGAGTGTAGCAGGGCTTCATATTCGAAAAAGGACCTGTAATCGAATCCCATAAGTATATCCTCCGAAATAAAAAAAGATAAAAAAAAAGTACTAACGCTATGCATTTTTTCACGACCAAGTCCTGTGTTTCCTCTCTCATCGCAACCATCATTCCCCCTCCCCTCCAAATTAAAGAATATAATCACAACCTCGCCTCAACACCACCACTAATCTCCTCCATCCCCTTCTCCTGTTCTTGTTCTTGTTGTTGTTGTAACTGCCCCCTCAAAGCGCCCTCCACAACCCTCATAAACCTAACCACATCCCCAAAAGTATTATACAGTGGCACAGGCGCAACCCTAATACAACCAGGTTTACGTTTATCGCAAATCACCCCATTCGCTTCCAACGCCGCAGAAATCGACTCCATCAAATCTTCTTGAAAAAGAACGCTGAGTTGCGTTCCGCGTTGCAGAGGATGAGAAGGGGTAATAATTTCGAACGGTGATGAAGTTTTTGTTGTTTGTTCTTCTCCTCTTCCTTCTCCAGAGAGAATGGTAGTAGTAAGAGAATTCCGTTCCGCGATGCGACCCAGTAAAATCTCCGCATACGCCGTCAACAAGAGCGATTTGTCGCGCAAAGCATTCATGGAAGTTTTTTCAAACACACTCAGTGCAGCCGATAAGCAGGTCAAATCCACAATGGAAGGATTAGAGAGTTGAAAACCTTGCGCGCCAGGTGTCGCGACGAATTTGTTATCCATGAGAAATCTGCTGGATTTGTCATGGCCGTACCAGCCTTTCAGGGCGGTAATTTTTTGGTTTTGGTTTTTGTTTGTGTCAAAGTTGCTATTGTCGCCGTGTTTGGCATGCACAAATGCACCTGCGATGGCTCCCGCGCCGGAATTCATGTATTTGTATGTACACCAACATGCGAAATCGACGTCCCAGTCGTGTAAGTGGAGTTCGACGTTTCCCGCGGCGTGGGCGAGATCCCAGCCGATGGTGATGCCGTGTTTGTGGGCGTGCGCGGTAATGGTGGGGATGTCGAGCAATTGGCCGGAGAAGTATTGAATTCCAGGAAGAAGAATCAGAGCGAGTTCGTGGGCATGCTCGTCGATGGTTTGGCAAATTTTCTCGGTGGAGAGAATATAGCTTCCGGCGTCGGGTTCGACGAGCACCATGTGCTCTTGGGGATCTAAACCGTGCCATGCGATTTGGCTTTCGATGGCATACCAATCGCTGGGAAAGGGACGCCATTCGTTCAAGATTTTGGTTTTGGTGCCGGAGGGATGGTAGAAGGCTGCCATCATGAGATGGAGGTTGACTGTGAGCGTATTCATCGCCACCACTTCCTCGGGTGCGGCGCCGACGACGGGTGCCATTTTGCGTGAGCAGTCCGCTGCCATGTCTTGGTAGGCGACGAGAGGCGACTCTTCGAGCCGAGTGAAGTGGCCGCCGACGGCAATGGAGCCCCACGTCTTGAGATATGAAGCCAAATATTCCGACATGGCTTTGGGCTGGAGACCGAGCGAGTTACCGCAAAAGTAGATGGCTTCATCGTCGACCGAGGATGCGATGGCCGCTGTCTGGTCGTCGTCGGCCAGAGTTTTGCGTTTCAGCTGTGCTTTGGTGGGAATGACAAAGTCATTGCGGAAAGTCGGGAGGATATCTTTGTGGTTGTCTAGAGAGTTGGCGAATTCCAGAGAGTCGGCATTGGCTGGCCATTCGGGCTTCTCCCCTCGACGAAGAAGATTCACGGCGTGGGTGGCGTCCATGATGGATGCTGGTCTTGGCCTTGTCGGTGTATGATGGTCGAGACTGGTGGAAAAGGGGTGTGATTGATGATGGTGAGATGAGTAGAATCAAAAAATCAATGTCGCCCTCCACTTTTCACTTATGCACACACTTCACTTGTCTCCGCTTCCGATGATGATGAAAATCATCATAAGACGATGAAGTGAATGACCGACAAGGAAGGTGATAAGGGCATCTGCTTCCGACAAAGCGGCCATGTAGGAGGTATCATTGGTCAAATCATCGGAAGTAGAGCATCGGAACATCCATTTGACGGAACATAGACCTCCCGTCGGAACCTGACCAGCATCCGCCCTCCCCCCTTTCTTTGATACCAACCCACCACCAAAAAATCTCCCCTTGCTGAAGAAAAAAAATATGATGATGAGTGAATGTAAATTATTGCACAAGTCTGCCTTCACTTGCGAAAAAAAAGTGGATCCAGTGACAAGTATCTTAGTTTCCATAGTGATAACCTGACCGATTGACTCCCAAGGTAACCAATCCCCCTACTGTTTTGTTTCTTCTACATACACCACCTTTAGCAGGAAAAAACACATCTGTCTCTCCAACACCTACCTACCTCTCTCACTCCTTACAACATCCACCATCCACCACCCATCAACAAACCACACCCACCCAACCACACATCATGTCCCCCTCTCGAGTCCCCCTCCTCCCCTCCCTGGCCGCCCTGGCTTCGTACAACATTTCCTCCAACGGCTTCCTCCCAGAAACGACACCTCTCAGCCATCTTCCGCACAAGTACTACGAACCATGGGAAATTCTCATCTCACAAATTTCGAGCTTGATTGCAGAGCAGAAAATCCGCCAAGTGGTCAACGACAGCACTCCGATTCTCTCGACGGAACATCTCGCGTCGGAAGCGGAATGGCAGCGAGCGTATTCGTTGCTGGCGGTCGTGGCGCAGGCGTACATTTGGGCGGGACCGGAGCCGGAGGAGGTAAGTCAGAAAGAAAGAAAGAAAGAAAGAATAAATTATTCAAAAGATTCTTTTTTTGCTAACAGTGCGTTGCTTTTTTTGCTCTGTACAGCGTCTCCCACCACAGATTTCGATCCCATTTCTCGCGACAGCAGAACATCTACAAGTCCCACCCATCGCGACCTACGCGGCGCTGAACCTCTGGAATTGGCGACCATTGAACGAATGTAGTGGGCGAGCCATCGATCTCACGGAACCGAGTAATCTGATCGCGCTGCATACCGCAACGGGGACAGATGATGAATCGTGGTTTCTCATCATCTCGAATGCCATGGAAGCGCGCGCAGGACCACTCATTCACGCCATGCTGGCAGCCATGGAAGCGGTCGAGCGCAAGGATAATGCGACCATTGTGGAAAGTTTGACGTACTTCAAACAGAGTATGACTGATATCGGCAAACTGCTTGAGCGGATGGATGATCGATGTCATCCACAGGTCTTCTACCATCACATTCGTCCCTTTCTGGCGGGGAGCATGAATATGGAAACGGCCGGTCTGCCCAATGGGGTCTTCTATGATGAAGGCGAAGGGAAAGGATCGTGGAGAAAGTACCGCGGGGGAAGCAATGGACAGAGCTCCCTGCTCCAGTTCTTCGATGCGGTACTGCAGATCAACCACGACCGATGTAACGGCTTCCATGACGAGATGCGACAATACATGCCGGGTCCCCATGCGCGCTTTCTGGACGATATCGAGAGCATTGCCAACATCCGCGACTATGTCAACGGGCTGGATGAGTCGCGAGGAAACAGTGATTTGATCCGTGCATACAATGAAGCAGTCTCGAGTCTGAGCGAGTTTCGCAACACACACATTGCCTTGGTGACCAGATACATCATCATACCAAGTCGTCAGCCGAAGCCAGAAGGCTGCATTATCCGACGAGACATCGCTTCGACATCAACGACCCTGGCATCTGCAGAGCCGATGACGAAAGATTTGGTGGGTACAGGTGGGACAAAGCTGATCCCGTTCTTGAGGACTTCGAGGGACGAGACCAGAGAGGCTACAGTCGCTAGGTGAGAAGAGCGAGGCCGCAGAGCATCATTCACCGCTACGAAAGGTTCACTGGCCGACATGACATGCCCGTCGAGGCCAGCGTTGTGCAAGTGCCGCCCCTGAGTGTTGAGGCGCCGCTGTTTCGATCACATGAAACTTCCGCCCATCTGATCATACATGGGAAACAGAGGTATATCGGCCAGATTCTCGCCGTCCAAGGTATGTCTTCCAGGCTGCAGAAAGTCTTGCAGGCCTTGATCGCTCTCATTGAGCCAGGGCAGGGCGAAGAAGTCGGCATCATAGATGGTCCAGTCAGGTATCGCCGTTTCAGTCGAAGCATCCTGTCCATGAGAGTTTCTATAGAACGTCAGCAAATGACTCTTCAAATCACGATACTGATGAACATGGCTGGTCTTCCTTGTGACATCCGCCTCTATGCTGTAACGTCATACGCTAAGACATGATCATACGGCCAAAGAACGGGGTCAACAAGGGTGACTTACTCGAGAGCGCCAATAGTAGAAGGGCGACGATCGAGAGCATCTGATGCATCCTGATCGAGCTGCGATTGCTGTGCTGCTGGTATCTCGTTGTCCAGGGGCAGTAAGCCGAACAACTGTGATGATGCTTGCTTTCTCTGACTGCGAAGACGAAGTTCACGAGCCTTGACATGGGTCGTCGTAGTCTTGAGCAATGCTTGAACGACAAGGGAATACTGCCGGGCATGTGGATCAACTTCTGCAAAATAGTCCAGACATGCTATCGAGGCTCGGCAGTGGTCTTCAAAAGCCGTACCAGAACGTCCCAGAATACCAACGGCAAGCACAAGTGAGGTGGTGAAAAGCCAGGATCTACGAGGAATCAGTGCTGTGAGTGACAGTGGGCATCTCATACTTACACCACCAGTGGCATCCTTTGAGGCATATGATTCGACTTGAGAACAACCTCCAACGTCTCCACAAAGGACGTAGCGGCATCAAGAGCGGCATCGGCGTATTTGCGCTTCTCCTGGTGTTCGTTGTGTGTGCCCGGCGCCTTGAGTGATGCGCCCATGTACTCGTATAGCTCGTAAATCAAGAATGGTCTGGTGAGTAACATGATGCCATAGTAGTACGAACATAATGTCGAGCAGGCGCCAACGACGACTTCTCGTGAGAAAGTATCTTGATCGCCCACACCTGAGAATGCTAAAGGTGAGCAAGCATTCTGGAGCGCATATGTCCCAGTTGAGTCGGTGATCAAGGTTGTCGGACCTTTCAACTGAGCTTGACGAGACAAAGGGGAAAAGGGGCAATGCACTGCAACAACTTACCAGTCGAGAATGGCGATGCCGCGGTTCTGTCTGATAAGAAGCGCAGCCAGATCGATGCCCACCCTTTGAGCTGATGCGAGACATAGCTCGCGATGCGAAGTGATATTCGTTTTCGTGAATATACCTCGACTACCACACGTTCGATGATCATGAAGATCTGTACACTTGCATCAATGATGTGCAGTGAATGTCCAAAGGAGACTTCAGCTACGCCGTGCTTGCCATATTTGACTGTGCAATCCACGTCTGAGGTTGATGGAGGTCTCCCCAGCAAGTTACTGATGAGCATATCCACCACTCTCAAGCTTTTCCAGATTCGATCTCTTGTGTCTCGAACAGCTGCACCATAAGTAGCATTGACCTCTGTGCGGTGCAGGCCAATGGCGTATGCCTAGGAGTAACAGATTGCATGTAAGTAATATCTTCTCACGTTTGAACAGGTTTCATTGGACGTTGCTGCTGGAAACGTCGCTCAGACGTTGATGGGAGACACAGAATGGCTCCCAATGATATTCTACTTACTGTTCTTGCGGCGAGTGAGAAGTACAGGTACGCGCCGTTGGGCTGAAATGCGCGAAGCATATAGACAGCAACAAGAGTGAAGCCTTGTACCGTGGAGAGGGTCATACTGGTAGTGAGGTGTTTGAGTAGCACATCTTTGGCATGCTCAAACCAAGACTCTGCTTGAACCTCGTTACTTTGCTGTGCGCCAATGGCTAGGATGAGATAGTGTACAGCAGATGTGACTGAACGCCCGTTAGCCTTTGCAAGAGTCGAGTACGCGAAGTCGTCTTGTTGTCGATCATGTTTGTGGAATAGGCACTGCATCAACGTACCATTCTGGTGTGATGTGAAGCCACTGGCCCATGCCTTCACTTCGTGCAGCAGCTGTGTGTGCTCGAATAGGTCTGCCAGACCACTGACTGCAACCACGTACTCCCCGACCAGCATTTCCACATTACGCACGTCTACAATAAGACTCGTAGGACCATCTGCCTTTTTGGTCTTGGCTACCTCGATAATCGAGTCACGGGATGCAGCCACTGCCAGGCCTTCGACGTCCACCTCAGATGCTATCAGGTGTCTTACGGTTTGCAAGAACGAAAGAGGCGCGCAATCGCCGATGAAGATGACCTTGCCCTGTGCATCCCGAAGAATGCGACCTTCTAATGGTACAGCCGTGTCATTCTGATGGTCCTCCCGACTGTCCGTACGTGAGAGCGAAGCGCCAAACTCGCCCACGCCATCCGAAGTACGCGGTCTGCGTTCAGCACCAGCACTATACGTTCGTCTCCTGCGGGCAACATCCGTGCTCGCATCACAGTCATCGGGCTCGTCCACATGCGCCAACGAGCCTGCTTGCCCAGACGACGAGGCATGTCGGAGAGGTCCAATGAAGCTCTGGTGCGGTCCGGAAACAGTCGGCGTGTTGCCTGCTGATTTTGCATGTGACCTTTGCTTCGGGGCAGTGAAGATGCAAGTATCAGCACGTTTCTTCCGCTGGCAGTACGCACACGGAAGCTCGCCATCACACTTCACCTTCCGTGCTTTGCAGAGATCACATGCCGCGACGACACGTTCAATGCGTCGCCGCTTCTCCGGCCGCGGAGCGTGTGGCGTGCTTCTTCCGTCGGCCTCGCTGGTCTCGTCCGTCATCGTTGATTCAAGCTTGGCCAATCCATATAAATTGCAATACACGGAATATTCAGTCGGTTGATGGCGGGCGTATTCGCGATGGAAGTATGGAAGCGTGCGTCGGAAGGAAAAGGTCGGAAGTAGGGAGGCAACAAGCCAAAATGCATCGGGACAAAGGCATCATTCGCTTACTAATACTGCATACAAAGACGATGTTGTTGTGCTCGATATAAAAGATACATAAAGTCTTTCGTATAGGTACATGTCCTACCAAATGTGGCAGAAATCGCTTGATCAGATCATGTGTGTCGTTAGGTATCTGGCGCCCACCTCAGTGAGGCGGAACGAAAACTGTGAAAAGAACTGCTTGTGGCCATACGCCTGTCCATGACGGTGTCGGGTGTAGAGGTGCTGCTGAAACCCATGTCTACCTTAATCGTCATAATTGTTGAGTTCTTTCTGGGCTTTAGCTCTGCGCTGCGCTGCAGCAGCGTTCTTTTTGAAGAACTGGTTCCTTGGCTTCGCAAGAGCTTTGTTGGGGTTCTTGCCCCTCTCATGCTCCATGTACGCCATGTTGTCAGCTCCAGCAAGCGAGGACAAAGTACCAGCCTGCCTCCGGACTCCACTGCCCTTCTTCTTGGATCGAGACACATTCCGATCACTGAATAGGTCATCCTGAATGTCTTCCACATCACCAGCAGTCTCAGACTGCAGGAGAACGTCAGTTAGCAACGTCATCCTTTCCTGCTGCGTATTGAACGCCAGGTTAGGCATCTTTTCAATGCCATTGAGATGCGTGATGACCTTGAACGCGTAGCCTTGATCGACCAGGAAGGCTTGCCGCTTGGATGAGTAGTACATTTCGTTGGTGTCTTTGCTGACTAAGGAGTAGAAAAATGCATTGAACCCCTCGTCGTTACGGCGCTTTGCTCGGAGAATACGCCCCAGGCGCTGTGCTTCCTGACGTCGAGAGCCGTAGTGTGATGAGATTTGAATGAGGCAAGTCGCTTCAGGCAGATCGAGGGAGGTGTCACCAATCTTGGAAAGAAAGATGGAAGAGACAGCATCGTTTTGTTGAAAGTTCTGGAGCACAATTTCTCGCTCTCGTTGCGATGTGTCTCCATAGATGTATGGCTTGGTCAGTCCGGTGGCATATTTCTGCAGCGCATAGACATTGTCGGAAAAGACGATGACCTTGTCACCTCGCTTCTCGTGGAAGTCAATCAGGAATTGGCATGCTTGGTATTTGCGAGGATTCATTGTCGAAAGCAAACTGCGCTTGTTCGTGGTTTTGGCGTCGAGATACTCCTTGTAGAACTCGGTGGTCATGGGACACCAAACTTCTGCGCACTGAACGCGTGCAATGTGGCCCTCTTCGCTGAGCTGCAGCCAGTTGGCCTCGTACAGTTTGGGCCCAATGAGGAAGTTGAGATCCTTGATCTTGTCATCTTCTCGCAGCAATGTCGCAGTGAGACCAAGCTTCGAGTGCGTCTTGATACGTTCCGTCACTCGTCGGAACATCTCAGCGGGAACGACATGCACTTCGTCGAGAACCATGAGGCCCCACTCTCGAGACGTGATGAAGTCCATGACTTTTTTGCTGTCGTGTGCGCGTCGAGTATTTTGCGTCACCATACTGTAGGTGCATATGATCACACCGGCCTTCTTGGACAAATTCAGAATGTCCTTCTCACCACTGGTAAAGATTGCGATGTCGTCCGGATTGATATTAGACCACTTCTTGAACTCCTCCTTCCATTGCACCGCACTCATGGCAGACGTGCAGAGGACGATGGCGCTCTTCTTCACCGTGCAGGCTGCTGTGATGCCGACTAACGTCTTACCAGCGCCACAAGGAAGGACAATGATACCACTTCTGGCTCGCCCATTGCCAAACATCTTGCTGAGGGCGTGCTCCTGGTAATATCTGATCTGCACATTTGGCCGTAGATCGATATCAAGGGTCGCGTTGATGTCGTCTGCCCGGAAGTCGTATTCTTCTGTGAGTGGCAAATTAAGCCGAACGTTGCAATGCTCCTGCACTAGCTGGATCTTGTTTCCGTCGATTTCAAAGGAGTGTACCAGATCTGTGTCTTCGTCGTCTTCTTCCTCACGCAGAAACTCAGTCATAGTCTTCTCGGCTTCACGGCCACCAAACTCATCGTCCGACTCGTCATCGTCACCCCGCTTCTGTACTGTAGCAGCCTGTGCTAATGCTTCTCTGTCCGCTCTTGCTTCGGCTGTGCCTGAGATGATGAGATCCCGTTTTTGCGCCGCCTTTTCCGTAACTAGCTCTTCTGTCTCTTCGACGCGAGTTCCAGCGATAATGGGGTCACGCAACAGCGTTTGAAGCACCAACGCATCGTTGCTCTCGATGAAGTACTTGTTGTGCTTGAGCACTAGCCTTACCTTACCAAACGATTGCGTCACCTCGTGGACGAAGTCAATGATATTCGCGGGCACTTTCGTCTTCGAGAAGAGCTCAAGATCACGGATAATGTCTTTTTCGGTCAGGCCTACAGATACAGCGGCGAACAAACTGTGGGGACTGATGGTATACTCGTGCATGTTCGTCGTCCGACTTTGCGGCTCGGCAATGTTGATCAGAAAGTTCTGGGCCTGCTTGAAGTTAGGCGCAAACGTCTCGAGGACTACTTTCCCGTTCTTGGGTTCGATCCATAATGGGCGCAAATGATGATCAGGTTTCAGCGGTTCGTTAAAGAAGTCGCGCCCGGCCTTGAACAGATGACTTGCGACGTCGCCGTGCGAGGTGGTAGGTTTCTGGTATGTGGCAGGCTGGTATCTCTTTACAACCTCTGCATTTCACATGTTCAGCATCCCGAATACATGCAGACAGTGGGAGGTGCATGATGACCACTCACTGTCATATTCGGGCGCTGCCTGTCGCTCCACCTCCTCATCAAAATCGTCGCTCTCGTCGTAGTCATCGTCGCTGACCAGGGAAACCGGCGTGCCCGCACCAGAGGCGACTCTCTTTTTCGCTCGTCCATCTGCGGCCGTGGCCTTACGCTTCGGCGGCATCGTGGGTAGTGTGTGGTGGGCGCTGGTAGTACAAAGACAGACGTCGCCGCGATGCTGGTGGAGGGGGGAGATAGAAGTGGAAGAGTGGGAGAAGTCATCAATGGACAAGGGCCGCCTCAGCCTCAGGCCCTCAGCCACGGGGATGTGCACTAGTCACATGCTTACCGAGAAACCTTATATCGGCGAAGCTAGGGCAATCCCGCTCACTTCCAGAGTCGGCGAGAAGGCCGGCGACCATCATCCGATACTCTACATAGTCAGGACCTGCAGCCTGCCCTGCCTACATACGACGCCAGATTTGATTCAGAAACCACTTCGAGTCGTCTGTCGTATCGATACGCTCCCTCTTGCAACCATGAACACAGTATGATCGCGCCTCTTCCTTCACTGCCTTCACCACTAAATCCGAATAGATCCGCTCCACATTCTATGGCTGGGGAGCATTGATCGTCGCTGGCGGTGGCTCTTACTATTTCGCGAAACGACAGATTAACAAGGACCGCGACGAACGAGCCGCAGCTATCGAGAAATCCAGACAACAGGCCGAGCGATTACGAGCGCAGGAACAAGTCATGCGCAACAAGGCTCTGAGTAGCACTGCCCCAGGGGATAGGATATCACCGAGCGATCGGCCCAGTCCCAGTGTAGAAGGCGGGAACGATCCTGCGCCAACCGGACACGTGGACAATCATGAAAGCAGATATGAAGCGAAAGAGCCGTTTCGGAGTCGGAAAGGGGATCGATTCAGTTGATGTGCATATTTTGGGTGAAGGCTGTCGCCTCGCTTCAGACGATGGAATGATCACAGCATAGCGATGGAGCATGGGGTAGAAAGAGCATGGTGAAGACGATGCATAGACTGGAGTATACGATACAAACTGTACGATACAGCCGATGGGGTAACACCTCGTCATTTCAATCGGCCTGGAGAGCATTGGCAGGATGACTGCTCCCGCTGCGTTATCAATACAACTCCTCTCTTCGGAATGATCCCGATAACAGCCACGAACGCCATGCCGATACCAAACCCAGTCCTGTGCTAGGTAGTGTATACCTTCTGTTCTTGTTACAGTCCCGAACTCCTCTTCATCTCCCCAGCCGCATGTACGCCCCAGCATAATCATCGAGACTTGACCCGGGCAGGCAATCGCGGAAGCTCAGTGGGCGGCTACAGAAGGTCAGACACTGCGTTCAAGGTGGTAGGCTTTGGAAATTTTGTGACTGGGTATGAAGGACTGAACTTACAAACTCGCCAGTTTCTGGTCCGTCCTCGCACGTTGGCTCACACAGAAAGCAGTCCCGAGAGGAGCTCCCACAACTGTGCACCAGTATATCGTAGCAGCGGCAGCACCTATTCGATCTTGTCGAGTTTTGCTCAAAGTGCTGCGTGGGAGATTTGCATATGAGCGGCGGCACGTGAGGTGGAGAGTTGATCGAACAGAAAGCATCTTTATATGGAGTCGCGCAAAGAAATGAGTGAGGTGATGGTGTCGAATACTTAAGGTAAGTGTGGTTGCCGACGTTGCGCTGCAGTGTGAGTTTGTTTGCAGCAGTGGAATGTATTGACAGGACACTCTACAAACTGCATATTAAAGGATATTCTGCTTTCAAGGTGACCGAAGTGGTCAGCAGGTGTCTTGTTCGCAATACGTGAACTGCTTACCATCATCTTCGATATGATTGGCGAAACAGCTGGACGTTTCACATGGATTCTGTGGTTGGTGCAGGGAAGCTGCAGCCGACGGTGCTATTAACTATTCTTGCTTAGCTGTATGAAGGCGCCGAACTAACACCACCTGGACAATGATGCATACCTTGCTCTGATGATGTAGCTGGGCAGCCAAATGCAGCAACCCGTTGCAGACATGTAGGATCCAACATACTTATTGATCAAGCAGCGCTGGCGGGCTAATCGGAATTCACAAACGCCTACCATGACCAAGACATTGAACGGTGTACACTACAGATTGGAAAGGAATCTCGGCGCGTATATTGACCAGTCGAGCATGTGGCCTCGGAAATTATAAGAAGCTCGTCTGAACAGAGCAATCGGGCAATGTATGATGGCGCCGTTCAATTTGGAGAATGGTTCTAAATGCGAAGTTGCTGATGGTGCTGCTGTTTTTCATCGCTAAGCATCATTGTCATCGTCGTTAGCAAAGGACTGCCGTCGGTCATTCGTTCTTGACGGGATGGATAGTGGTTGACTACCTGGGTACAGGTAGTGCAGCAGTCGGGTTGGAGGGTTGAGTAACCTGAGCCTGTCACTTCGAAAAGAATAGTGTGAATTGCTTCCCGGTGAATCCTCTATACCTTATGCTCGGAGCGAATGGGATCGCTAAGCGCCTTGCTTTGTGCATATCGGAAGTCACAATCTCTCTTTTGTATATAGATATAGCCGAGCGGCTATTCTTCTTTCTGTTGACTCGCACATTTATCACAACTGTCCTCTCTCTCTCTCTCTCTCTCTCTCTCTCTCTCTCTACACCTCTATCAAACTATCCACATCCACAGGCAAACCCGTCTCAATCGACTTCGTCGCCGCAATACCCGTCAAAATCGACAACGCCCCCTCCACATGCGACGCACGCCTCCGATACACATCCTCACCCGGAGTCCCAAAAATATCATTCAACAACTCCGGATCACCACCTCCATGACCCCCCGCAGCCTCAGGGATAACTATAGCCTCGGGTTTCCCAAACTGCGGCCGTAAAATCAACGATCTCGACTCCAAAGCTCCTTCCAAACTTTGCTCGCCACCAGAATTAATATAACTCCTTTCAATCACCTCCAAATCCAACCGACCTTTACTCCCCGTAAAACTCACGCGAAATCCTTCGAGGGGGGAATACGCGGTGAGACTATACGTCAATTGTGCACCATTGCGATAGCGCACGAGAACACTCATGGTATCGTCGATATTGATCCCTTGGCCAAACACGCTCTGATCGCGAAAATATCCATCTTCGTGCTCCGCGTCGAGATAGAGTGCTTTGAGTGTAGGATTTGCCGACAAATCCAAAGCAAAAGGATCCTGTTGAGCGAATTCTGCGCCGTGCGCGCGAGTGTAAAAATTTGTGATGCCGCGTTTGGCAGCGTTGGATTGGCCGTAGAATTGGAGAGATCCCATGGCAAAGACAGTTTGAGGGCGAGATTGGAGCCAGTAGTTGATGAGATCGAAATGGTGCGTGGATTTGTGGACGAGCAAGGTTCCGCTGTTGGCGCGGTCGCGGTGCCAGCGGCGGAAGTAGTCTGCTCCGTGAGAGGTGTTGAGCATCCATTCGAAGTGGATGGCGTGGATGGATCCGATGGCGCCGGATTGTAAGGTTTGCCAGACGGCGGTGTTGTGGGGAGCGTAGCGGTAGTTGAATGTGACGCGAACCCGGCGTTGCGTACTCTCGACTGAGGAAAAGATTTTTTCAATGGAGGGAATGTCAATCGTCATGGGCTTCTCCGTAATCACGTCGAGTCCGTACGAATGTGCCAGCTGGATGTAGTGGCAATGCGTACTATCGATGGTGGTAATGATGAGCTCGTCCGGTTTCGTTTCCTCTACCATCCGCTTGAAGTCGCTCGGCAGATAGGTCGGAAGGGGATGGTGTGAGACCTGGGCTAATCGAGTATTGGCGTACTGCATTCGCGTCTGGTTGGTGTCCAGAAAAGCAACCAGCTCAGCTGTGGTGCCATAGGTGGTGGCGATGCTGAGATAGTAAAAGGAAGCACGACCTCCAGTGCCAATGAGGGCATATCGCCTCTTCCTCTCTGTCGAACCCATTGCTCGATCTGCGGATCTGACGATGGTGGCTAAGCTTTTACCCAGAGAGCTTGATGTTACCTCCTCAGAGACGACGTGTTGCTTTTGTATCGTAGTGCAATAACTGAGCGTTCTTCAGTCAAGACTAGTCTTCTGGACCACAAATGAATGATGATCCGTGTTCGTCGGGTGATGTAGCGAGGGTATAGCAGGCCTGTTGTACAGTCATCAGTAGCGACCCCCAAGTGCTCGGGCTAGAATGCAGCGAAGCGGATTAACTTCAAGAGCAAGCCCAAGCAACCGGTGCAGCATTGGGTCGGTAAGCAGTCGGCATATCAAATTGAAGTCTGGGGTTGGTTGCTAGTTCTACTTCTCCGCATCTTTTCTAAAGTTCTACAGCCTGGTGAACAAGGAACAGGGGCCAACCATCTCGCTGACAGACATAATAATAGGGTCTCTTATAAAGCTCCGTGTGATCATGTCTGTCGCCCGCTCCAGAGGTACAAGCGCCCTCCGACGCACGAGGCCACCATGGCGACCACGACGAAAGCAGTCGATACGTCCAAGCAAGATACGATATTTCAAGAAGTCGCCGTCGCAGACACCACCCCCAGTGATGCCAAGAAAGACAAAGCTGTCGAGTTCTTGATCGCCGCAGACAGTGGAAGTGTGGAGTTTGATGAGGCAGAAGAAGCGCACGTCCTTCGCAGAATCGATCGGCGAGTCCTGCCACTCATCCTCGGGGCCTATTTCTTCCAACAACTCGACAAAAGCTCGTTGTCATACGTCTCCATTTTCGGACTGGTGAAGGAAGCGGGCCTCAAAGGCAAACAGTACTCATGGCTGGGAAGCATTCTGTACTTTGCGCAGTTGAGCATGCAGCCCCTCGTAGCATTTTTGCTGGTCAAGCTACCAACTGGTAAAGTGCTTGGTTGCGCAGTCATTTGCTGGGGCATCGCGGAGACGTTGATGGCTGCGTGCACGGGTTTCAAGTCACTGGCCGCATTGCGATTTCTGCTCGGTTCGTTCGAAGCCTTCATTGCACCCATCTGCGTAGTGGTTACACAGATGTGGTGGCGTCGTCGAGAGCAAACCCTGCGAAACTCGTACTGGAATGCGATGAATGGAGTCACTTCAATCTTCGGCAGTCTGATCACTTTTGGCTTGGGCCACATTCACAGCAGCTCGCTACGCCGCTATCAGATCATATTCATGTTTTGCGGCCTCCTGACGGTGGTTTGGGGCGTCCTCGTCCTGTGGCTGATGCCGGACTCACCGATGGACGCAAAGTATCTGACGCAACGAGAGAAGATCGTTGCGACTCGCCGTCTCCGGGCTAATCAGCAGGGTATCGCAAGTCGTGACTGGAAGATGAGCCATGTCATGGAGACCGCAACCGATGTGAAGACGTATCTCTGGTTCCTGCTCATCTTTTCCATCTCAGTTCCTTCGGGTGGAATAGGAACGTTTGGATCTCTGATTGTCAAGGACTTCGGATATTCCTCGTTCAGTGCGATCCTCTTCAACATCCCATTCGGAGTCATCCAGGTGCTGGCTATCATCGGATCTGCCGCTCTGGCTAACAAGTGGAAGCGGAAGGGACTCGTGATCTCCTTGATTTCGATCCTCCCAGTTATCGGCTGTGTCATCATGCTGACGGTACCTCGTGATCAAAAGGTGGTCCTTCTCTTTGGATACTACTTGGTTTCCTGTTTGGCATGTATCACGCCATTAGTATACGCTTGGTAAGCACAGTCTCAGGCATACGACCTGTCGAAATACGATTCGTCGCTAACTCGTCACGCTAGGCATGTGCAGAATACTGCAGGCGATACCAAACGCAAATGTACCTCTGCAGTCATGTTCAGTGGCATGTGCACAGGAAACATTGTCGGCCCTCAACTGTACAGCGTAGACCAAGCGCCTAAGTATCGCCCAGGACTGCTGGCGAATCTCGTGCTGTTCGTACTCACTGGCTTGTTGGGAATCTTGATCACGTTGTACCTTGCGATGCTCAACAAGCGCCACGCCCGTCGACGAGAAGCTCTTGGGAAGAGTACCAGCGTGGTGGACCAGTCCATGCTCAGTAAGGCAGAACGTGTCGATCGTAAAGATGGCGTGGTCGAGAGTGAGGCTGAGATTGTAGAGGACAATGGCTTCAAAGACGTGACGGACCTTTTGAATGAGGACTTCATTTATGTATATTGAAGCTGTGCGGTAGATGGGATGGAAGCATTGTATCTGCAATAGTGCTCGGCGGAGTTGGGATCTCTCCAAGTGATTGTTCTATCAAAGCTCGGATGCCAAATTTGTGTCCTGGACTCGTCAGATTGCCGGCTTGATACAGCTCGGGTATATTGTAAGCATGGACTCCGAGCTTGCAGTCTCGAGATCTGGCAAAGGTGTTGATTTCAGGCCGGCGGGAAGTCGTTGACTCTCGATGGTCCTCGGGAATGATAAGCCTCGTCTCCAGCGCCGTAGAAGAGAAATAATGAAAAAGGACCAGCCAAAAAAGGCGGTCTGGAAATGAAAATGCCATGCAATACACGCCTCTACTTAATCACATAACAGAAAAGCTGTACATCGCATCTTCGCGGCCGTGATAAGACGACTGGCCCCTGCGCCACGTTACCTAGTTTGGCACATGCTCTCCGTTTCTATCCCATGTTTCTGTTTCTTACAAGAGGTCTCTCTGGATAAACTGATCTCTCAGCGTCTTGCCCAGGCTTGCAGGACTCCTCTCCACAGTGACACCGGCGCCTTCCAGTGCAGAAATCTTGCTGTCCGCACCACCCTTTCCACCGGAAACAATGGCACCAGCGTGGCCCATACGTCTCCCTGGAGGCGCAGAGATACCAGCGATGAAAGACACGACTGGCTTGCCCCTGCCGTCCTTACCACCAGTGTTGTACTGCTTCAAGAAGTCTGCAGCATCCTCTTCTGCGCTGCCTCCAATCTCTCCAATCATGATAATTCCATCAGTGTCTGGGTCTGCGAGGAAGACGCGCAGGCAGTCGATGAAGTTTGTGCCGGAGAATGGGTCACCGCCAATTCCAACAACGAGCGATTGGCCGAGGCCTGCTTGCGTGGTTTGGTTGACGGCTTCGTAGGTGAGAGTGCCCGAGCGAGAGACGATACCGATGCGGCCGCGCTTGTGGATGAAGCCAGGCATGATACCCATTTTGCATTGGCCCTGTAATGAACGCTCGTCAGCTTTTGCTTGATGACTGGAGTACGAAGACGCTATCGCAGTGGGTAGGTTGTATCAGATGTATATACATGTAATCAATCCGGCCAAAAGGCAGGTCAGACTCTTCCTATCATATGATTTTTGTAAAATGTCTCATCATGCAACGAGTAATGGGGGTTTCAGTAGAATTAAAAAAAACGCAGAATGAACTCACGGGAGCGATGATACCAGGGCAGTTGGGTCCAACCAGCCGCGTCTTGTCCTGTGTCTTCAGCATATCCGTGATCCGCACCATGTCACGCTGCGGGATGCCCTCAGTGATGCACACAGCAAGAGGGATCTCGGCCTTGAGAGCCTCCTCGATACCCGCAGCAGCGAGCGGCGGGGGCACGAAGATGACACTGGCATCGGCGCCCGTCTGTTTTCTCGCATCTTCGACCGTCGCAAAGACGGGGCGGTCGAGGTGTGTGCTGCCCGCTTTCTTAGGATTGGTACCTCCGACTACGTTGGTGCCGTACTCGATGGCTTGCTGTGCGTGGAAAGTGCCCTGCTTGCCGGTGAAGCCCTGGAAGAGGACCTTGGTGTCCTTGGTGATGCGCAAGTTCAGGCCGGTCTTTGCGTAGCCGGTCGGACTCCCTGGCGCGTCGCTGGCGGAGATGGTGGCATAGCTGGCAGGAGAAGCAGATTTAGTCAGGCCCGCCGGCGCATTCCGCAGGGCGCGAGTGAGAGGTTGACGAAGGGACTGCATGGTGCACCTCTGCGCGCGCGGCTTTGAGGACGAGGTGGTGGAGGTGGAGGTGGAGGGAGGGTGAAAGGATTGGTAGTTGAAGAGGGTGTGATTTCTCCTTTGCTGCTGTCGCACTCTGAAGCTCCGTAGGTTAGAACTACCTCCTGCCTACGAGCTCTCCCGGGTCCCGTCCAAACCCGATGTCCTGTGAGCTGTCGTCACTTTAGCTTCCTGTTCCCACACATCCAACCTAGGTGGTTCACCAACTAACCTACATCTCGTCACCCTCCTCTACCGCGGCCCTGGACGATTCTAACAGAGAGAGCCTGTTCGCGCGATTCGAGAAGCACATCATGAGCGAAGTCACCTTCGCCAAGTCGTTCCTGGCCACTATCGACAAGCGAGCCATCAAGCTCTCGGCCGACCATGTCAGCGACCCAAGAAAGTACCCCAGCCAAAGTCCCGTATGTATACAGTCTGCTCTGTCCCATCGAGGAGAGCAAAGCTGACCAAATGTAGTTCATTCTGCCCAAGCAGACACATCCGTTCCCGCGCAAGACGGGCCCCACCTCGACACAGCAGGCTCAGGCGAAGGCTATCACTGCCACACTAAAGCCTATGAAGACTGGCGAGACTGTCACGCTATCGGGCATTGCTTTGGACTCGACAATCTATGAGATAAAGTCACAGTATGCCCAGCAAACGAGTCTGTCGCAGGATAAGATCAAGCTGTTGCTCAATAAGAAGCCGACAGCAGATTTGAAAACACTCAAGGATCTCGGAGTGGACAGTGATGTCGAGTTCAGTGTAATGGTCATGGGTGGGGGTGTCCCAACTCCTCGAGCACAGAGTCCGGCTGTGAGCGCTCCGAGCAGTGCGTTCGCACCTCCCCCTGTGCCAGCTCCTACAGAATCAAGAGGCGATCCCATGGACGTCGACAATAAAACTGGCGCGCCGGACAGTGAAGCTGCAGCGAACGAAGCAGCGGAAAAGGAAACGAGCGCGAATAGTTCTGCGGAGATACTGAAGACAGATGAATTCTGGACGGACCTGAAGGGCTTCCTGTCGCAGCGCTTGCGAGACGAGAAAGAAGGAGAGCGTCTAGCTACACTCTTTCGGGAAGTGAGCAGAAAGAAGTAGTACTCTGACCTCAGCTCCTGGTGGACATTCAGGCGGACCCGCAATGAATAAGGTCGAGGGCTTACTGAAGACTGGCTAATCTGCTTGGCTCGAGGACAACTTTTCATGTCTCTGCGCGGTATCGATGTTGAAGCGCTGTCGCTCTGCTGCTGTCATCACAGTCCACTAGATTTGTGGGTCTGAATTGCTCTAGGGCCGTTGCGAGTAGCTTCGAAAGATTTCGCCTACATGCATCTGGACGCAGCATTCTCAGCTTCATCTCCATAACCGAGCCGACGAAGATGTCGACATTCAAATGTTGACCGCTAATTGTGATGTGGCCACAATGGGTCATCAGCGATGGACGGCAACCCACTTCCGAAGAACCTGCTTAAAGCAGACGATAAACCGGACCTGCGGGACGATCAACCGCACAAGACATATACGAATGAGATAGGCAGCTACTGGTGTGCCAGCAATGTTCTCAGCATCAGGTAGGAACTTCAAGTAATTGTGCGGCAGCTCCTGGTCATCTCTGTCGACGATGCAGGCACTAACCATTGCGTGCCATGCCTAGACGCGCCACGAAGCATGATTCCCATGAAGAGTTTCCGACTCCACATCACGGCCTTCTGTCTCTCTTCGTGGGTCCCAGATGTCCAATGTTATTGTTTTTTCATTTGACCTCGATAGCTACGAAGGCTTCACAATTCCTGTAGGAGTCCTATCGCACCGCCGCTTCGATACATGCTCGTCATGGAAGCCTTGTATTACCTATTCAATTTTAGGAGAGCGGAACATTCGCGTCTTTCAAAGGCTTGAAATCATCTGAGGTCGGGCAGCCTGGGAGAGAGAGCGTAAAGAGAGCGTGCGACATATTTGAACACACTGACTTCACTTGGATGTTGCTGTGATGTTAGCGATTGTTCCAACACGTGCTCCATCGCCACTAAGGCAGCCACCTGCATCGTCCATCGGAGAAAGGCTGGGTCATCCATCACTGCACGACCAAAAGGGAAGAAACGCCGCGTTCCACTACCACATCGCCAATGGCGGACCAATGATTGGCTCAAACAGCCGCTTGGCAACAGGGTTCACTTTCAACCTCGTCCTCAAACAGTGCCAGGCACCGTACCTGCAGAAGGGACAAGCAGATAATGTAGTGCGCATGAGATAGGCTATCGCCTGAGACCGCAGGACAAGTGCCTTTAATATATCTGCAGCCTTTCCATCTTTCGCCACCGTACTTGGTTTGATATTCTGTCAGACGTCAGACATTCTCACCATCTCACTCTTTCAGCTCCAGCATGATGAAGTCCTATGGGAATGGGCTCCTCGCCGCCACATTCGCAGCGCGGGCGTACGCTTGGGGATCTCTCGGTCATCAAACCGTAGCCTACCTCGCCCAACACTACGTCTCCAACCACACCGCCCAATGGGCCCAAGCCATTCTCAACGACACATCCGCCTCCTACCTCGCCAACATCGCCACCTGGGCCGACAGCTACCGCTACACGGCCGAAGGAGAATTCTCGGCAGGATTCCACTACATCGACGCCCTCGACAACCCTCCCGAATCCTGCAACGTCGATTTCGAACGCGACTGTGCCTCTTCTGGCTGCATCGTCAGCGCCATTGCCAATTACACTCAACGCGTCCAAAACCCTTCTCGCGAGCTAGATGCCTTACAAGTCAACTACGCCCTGCGATGGATCGTGCATTTCGTCGGAGACATTTCCCAACCTCTTCACAACGAAGGTCTGGAACAAGGCGGCAACGGCATCAAAGTCACTTTTGCCAACGAATCCACCAACATTCATTCCGTCTGGGATACTGCCATTCCGGAGGAATTCCGCGATATCCCTTCCAATACTACCAGTACTCTGTCCGAAGCATCCGCCTGGGCAAGTGATCTCGTTGCAGATATTGATGACGGATGTTACACCCCCCTGGCTGCATCGTGGCTTCAAGGAATCGATATTTCCCAACCCCTCGACACAGCCATGGTCTGGGCGCGAGATTCCAATTCGTATATTTGTTCCGTCGTGTTTCCCAACGGTCCCGAGACGTATAATGGCACCGAGTTGTTTCCCGAGTATTATTCCTCTGCGGCTTCTACGGTGGAATTGCAGATTGCAAAGGCGGGGTATCGGCTCGCGGCGTTTTTGGATGGGATTGCCGCGGGCGAGAAGAAGGTGGGGACGTATTGGGGAGGTCTAGGTACTTCTGCGAATGATGTGGTGAGGAGGGAGAGGGAGAGACATGTCGAAGTCAAGAAGAGGGATTTGAGTGGGAGGGATTTGTTACCGAAGCGGAGTGGCATGACGAGGATGGAGAGGGAGAGGTTGGCGGAGAGGAACGATTTGGGTTGTGGATGTACGCATAAGCATTAGTTTGGCGGCAACCAGTTTATTTTTGCTTGCTTGTTGTAGGGTATGTATCTATCTATCTACTTGGGTGGATAGCTCCTCGCTATCAGTCAGCCTGTCATTGTTTTTCTGTTCGTATACGACCAAGCCATCAGGAAGCCCACCTAAGGTAGGTGTAGATACTCGGGCACTTATACGCTTTGCTTCTTTTGGATCATGTCTATCTGCCGCTTTCCTTCCCATTGCACTCTTTTGGGACTGATATAGCTGTCTTGTCACTCTGCTGCAATTACAGCAATATGCCCGCGAAATTCGCAGTCCACTCGGCCATACATACTCAGCCCTCTCTCTACCATTTGAAAACAATTCCTGCTGTTTTACAACTTTTTGCAAATGTCCACCCATCCAACAACAATTCCCAGTATTTTATTTTATTTCCTTTTCCTTTTCCTTTTCCTTTTCCTTTTCCTTTTCCTTTTCCTTTTCCTTTTCCT